TTTATTAATGATGAAAAGTCTTTTGAGTCCAATAATTGCCCAGTAGATTTATTGCAGTGTGTTGATCTACAGTATATTTTAGTTCAACAGTCAGTGTGATGGAAGGTATGTAGGCTTGTGATGTGAAAGCTTTTCAAAGCTGAGGTCACTGAGCTAAAAAGCTGCTAAAAGGAGAGTCCAGACATGAGCTCTATTTCTGGATGAATTCCAGAACTTTTTCCTGATCTGTGTAAGTCAGGGAACAGTGGGGGTAGTCCTTGTACCACTTTCTTCTACCTATATAAAGGCATAAGTACACTTGTGTGCTCTATAATTCCGTCCTTCAAACTGCTTATCTTTTGCACGCCTTAAATAACCTGGCATAGTAAACCTACAATAACAGACAAATACTGTTTACTTTTATAACTAGATAAATATTTTGTATGATGACCAAACAAGATCTGTACCATTCCCGAGTATTTTATAGACAATAAAGCCCAGAGCCATCATGTGCTCCTAAAATAAAAATACATTTTTCCCCCAAAGTTAATCATTTTTAATTGAATATCACTGGTATAATTTAAATAATTTGCACGTTTTAAAAATATTTTAAAATATGAAAACCGTTGCCTAAAAATATTTAAATATTTAACTGTAATTCTAATAAACTACAGTTGTAATTACAGTACATACATTTTCATTAGCAAATGTTCATCATTGTGTTGTTGTGATATATCACATTTCTTGATAGATGGCACTATGGCACAGCTGAAAATGAATAAAGATCTGTTTCCATGAGAACATCCATATCACAGACAAAACAGGGAGCTCAACAAAGGTTCAAGTTCTGCTTTGTCAAAAACCCGAGTGCCTTTTGCTCAGGCAACACTGCTGAGAAACACAAGTCTTTGTACAAAGATTACTTTCAAATGCCCTGTGGTGAAAACCGTTCCTTTGTTGCTAACTGCATTTCAGATGTTGGTAATTTTTGACTAATGATGTCTGCAGATCCATAATAGAGAAACATCTGCTGATGTGGGGGGCTTTGTCTGCTGGCATTTACAAAACATTTCTTTTGATGCCCACTGTGCATCTATGACTGTTCTTCCATTCCTTTTCTCCCTTCCTTTTGAAACTGTAGCTGAAGGCCAAACAGTTTCTGTAGTAAGCTTCCTCATAGTTTAACTATTTTCAGAGAGCCATCCAAAGCAATTTGCTCTAGAGATAGAATTGCTTTCTGTTTTCAGAAACTACTGTAACTATGGACATTCAAGACTAATCAGGAGACAATTTTCATTTTTCTCTTAAGAATAAAGGTGAGGTAAGCCATGGTTAATTGGGAGATATAATAAGTGGAACACTTTTTACATGGGATCAAAACATTTTCAAAGCATTTTCAGACTGAGAAGCAGAGAAATCAAACGGTCATAGTACTTTGTACTAGTAATAGTAATGGGAGTTACAGTGTTCATTGTAAAGGAAAAAACTTAAATGATCATTACTTTCCATTACTATCTGAAGGATGAGCAACTTCTTACAACTGTATTGATATTATGATATTTATAAATGAAATATTGTATCAAAAAGTTAATAAAAATATTTTTGGTATCATAATCTGTAGAATTATTGAATACAGTACCTTATCTAGTTCCAAATTGGTTAATTCTATTTTTTGCATTAATTTGTTTCCACAAGATGAAATTTAAGTGAACGCAAATAATGAAGTGTGCACAAATCATGTTTAAATAAGAATATCTCCCATGTAATATTAGATATATGATAATAAAAATGGAAAAAATATTAAAATGAAAAAATAAGACATTATAAAAATATTGAAGAGGTTATACATTGCAATATACCACACTAAACCAATTTTAGATTCTTTTTTAAAATAACATAAAAAATACATTTTAAATAAAGTTGCACTTTAGGAAGAAAAGACAACATACATGTATAAAAACTGCTGACATAATACATTTTAAAGGTGTTTATACAGTAAATGTCAAACTTTTTCAAATTACGTATTGGCAGTGGTCTGTTACTCACTGTGAGTCAACTAATTTTCTTTAATATATGCCAAGTTACACATAATTTATAACTATAAATTTCGCCCAGAAATCTGAGGCTGCACTCACAGTTATTTATAGACTCATTGGTGTTACGAACCTCTACTGAATAAAATGATGAGTCTCTGCAAGCAGCAGGAACCACTTGAACAAGACTTGGCCTGTATTCCACATGGCTTTGAAATATTGGCAGCTCAATCCCATCTCTTTCAGCTGATGCTGTGACGACAGTAATGGTGTGTGGGACTTATCTGCACATTATGCCAGTACTTCTAGGTTTTTAATAGGACTGAGATTGAGGATTGTTCTGGCTACACCAGGGTGATGAATGTCCACGACGTATGCCTCAAGTGAGTCGCGCATTTTCTGTCAAGGAAGTAGTATATAAATTGGACAGAGGGTTCCTAGTATTCTGTCCAGTGACTGCATGACATAAATTCTATGGGTGCAATTTTGAATTTGTTATATAAATACTGGAAAATAAGTATACAGAATATACAGTATATTTATATATTCGGCTGCTGTGAGGATAAATATGCTGAGATTTCTGTTGGTACAGCATTTTTGTTCTATACAATGACCCACTATCTCCGGTACTATGAGCCCTGAAAATAATGAAAATCATGAAACCATGTAGCTCTTGTGTCAATTAAGCAAACTGATCGTATTAAACCCTTTTGTTTTAGAATGAACAAAAGTAATCAGGGCAGTTGGCTAACAGGTATCTTTTATTGGTCAGGTCTTTGTTGACATAAAAGGACTCTTAGCATCCTACCAGTCTGACTTGAGTTTTTTGGGCCCAGAGTCTAATGTCATAATGAAAACCAGATTATGTTCTGTTAAAGAAAGGCAGAACATTTTAAAGCTGAAAGGTGAGAAAACATCAGTCAGAACCGTTGCACAGAAATTGGCCATGCAGAAATCAATTTGGAATATACTTGAGAACTAAAGATACCAAAAGTATAATTACTAATCATCCAAGTCTGAATCAGCCAAGAAAAACATCTGCAGTTGATGACAGGAAAAAATAATCACAGCTGCCAAGGAAAACTCTAAAATAAGTGTCAGTGAAATCAAAAACAACCTCCATTCCTTTGTACGGGGGGGGTGTATACTGTAAAACTGAGACTGCAGAAAGAATAAAAGGGCTAGACCTCAAGATTGACATCAAGAACAGAAAAAGAATTTGCTCAGAAGTACAAAGATGAATACAGCAAGTTTTAGAACAAGGTTTTATGACCTGATGAGTCCAAGATAAACCTTTATCAAAGTTCTGGAATGGTTAGATTATGGAAAGAAAATGAACTGTAGATTCTCTGAAGAACATGTAATCTGTGAAACGTGCTTGTGGGAATATCATGGCCTGGGCATGTTTGGCCATCTAGGGCCATGACTCATAAATTATGTAACTAATGATTTAACGGTTGTAAGAGCAGAGTGAATTCTGAAGTATTTATTGGGTGGTGCCTTACCATGCAGCATGACAAATACCCAAAGTATACCATACATACAGTATGCCAAATGCAACTACTGCAGGGGTTTCATCAGGAGAGAAAAAGTGATTTTACATGCTGAAAAAAGAAATTCAAGCAGAAAACCCCAAGAAAAGGCAAGAACATGGCTGTAACAAAGCATTTCAATACTTACACAAATGTTTGACTAGCTGATTGGACTGCAGACTTCAAACAATTGTTGCCTCAAAGGATTATGCTAATGATACTGATTTTTACACTCTGACTTTTTTGCTTAAAGTTAATGTGTGTTATAGTATAGTTGAAGTATATGTGTGTTCTAACATTCATGGAATTAACCAAATATACAGTAAAACACAAATTTTCCTATCATTCATATTAATCTGATAATCACAGCTACATTTGGACTTTAAAGAAAACCTAATGGATTAAGTAAGTGTGTGTGTCTGTCAGACAAATTAACATAAATTTAAACTTGATTCTTTGATTGATCCAATCCCAGATTATTACAGTAATTTTAAGGAAAAGGAGAAGTAGGTTTATAGAAAAAAATCACTTCCATTAGGTAAATAATCTGTCTGATCTGTGACCTATGAAGTAGAGTGTCTCTCTGTGAATCGTAAACTATTTTTAGGGTATAAGTTCATGCCTTGGATTGCAACAGAATGATAAAAGTGTAACAGCATCACAACATACCACCTAGGATACAGGGCATGAGGAGAAAAAGAGATCTGAAGCATTGAGTTTGATTCATGAATAAATAACAGACTAAGCTCAGCTATATAAGTCCATTCGGTAATGGGGATAAGACTACTTAATTTCTGCAATCTCACTACAATTTAATGAAGCTACATTCTACAGCTAAAAGAAAAATCTAATAAGGAAATTAATCAGAGTATGTGTATGACCAACACTGTGTAAAACCAGTCTGGAAGGAAACTGGTACCAGGTTTAATCACTGGCCAAATCTTGGGAATCCACAAACTGAATTAAATTTGCCTCTTCATCATCTTGGGGTTGTGAAGCCTCTTCAATATTATTGGGCGACATGACTCACTTTGTTTTAGATTTAGTGGCTTGGTAACAATGGCTCTGTCTATGCAATGGGTGTCAAAAAAGATGGACTGCAAAAAAAGCCCACTGTTTAATAATCTTCCCCCGCCGCCCTTTGTGTCGAGGTGTAGTTTAAAGTTAAGGGGGAGACAGCACATACATTCAACAAAAGTTTTTGAAGTGAAACTTAACATCAAAGAAGAGATCTGTGTGCCTAATGAATGACAAACTTCAGATACATAGCATGACAGCTTGAGTGGGGTAGGAAGGTACCAATCGTTCGCTGTTGTTGCCTAAAGCAGAAGTTCAGATAGCTGCATGTGTCACTGAAGATGAAATTAGGACAGCCTTGACAGCTGTAAATCATTCCAGCATGATTTTAAAGAATTCTATGTACATTGTGGGCCAATCATATATATTTTTTTTGCAGGTGCATCCATCCTCAACAGTTCTTGATCTTAAAAATAGGTTTCACAAAGCATGTAAGTATTACCTTTCAAAGAACACAGCATTGTGTTAAATAAAAGTGCTGCTAGGAGTTGTGTGAAAGGAAATCATTTATACTTTAAAACTATTGCAATAATAGTATTTTTTGCAGTTTCTGTTCTTGCAGCATAGACTGAGAAATCACAGCCAATTTTTAAAGTACTTAAAGCCCTTTGGCAAGTGTTTTGTATTATGAGCATCTGACACCAGAAAATGTTATTTAATTAGTTTTCTGATTTATGTTTATGGAATGAACTATGTAAAAGTAAGGTGTGAACCATTTTTTTCCTCCACGTGCATCAGTTTACCAGTTGGAAGTCTTACCTGCCACCTCTCAGTTTAAAGAAATCTATGGTTTAAGATCTAGGTATAAAAATGTTTTATTTGCTTAAAACACGTAAAAAAATTTCTCAAATAGTATAACTGCATTTCTGTAAACTAAGTATGAACGTAGAGCTGGATGTCTCACAGTTTTTAAGAAATCTAGATTAAACTATCCATAGTCTCAAACCAGCTGTGCATTTAGTAAAGCTGAATAAAAAAGTTAAAATATTCCTTATTGGTTTATTTCAATTTTTTTGGACACTCCTTTATTTTCTATTATTTTTATTTTGTTTGAAATCTATTAAAAAACATATTTTTTTAAAATAAAGGTTTTGTGCTGTTATGTGACCACTAGGGAGCAGTAAAACATTGTACATACAAAGCCTTCCATTTAATGAGGCCTTTGAGATTAAATAATGGAGACAGTCTTTTAACAACAATTTGAATTCCTAAACTGGGAGATTGTTATCACATAGGTAAGTGACATTTTTAAAGTCTTTACACTTTGTGGTGAAAATGTTAAATTGATATACGAACTCAGCATTACATATTGATGCTAAATGTAATATGATAAAAACTAAATATATTTAGTTTTGTTTAATGAATACATGGAGCCACAGACATGAAATTATTACTTGTTTACAATTTAGTAATGGTATTTATTTCATTTTCAAGCTCAGAATAATTTAGATGAGGTATTGCTTAATGTTAATATACGTCATACTTAAAAACCATCTACCTTAGCTGAAGAGAACATTTCTAATTATATTTGCATCCTGCCAAAACTCAGATTTTTTGAAGTGCTAATTATCAGCATTGATGAGGTGGGTGAGGATACTGACATATTGCTTACTGGGGACTGCTGAATACTGAACATTTATAATAAGTTTTCTATGACAAAGTTAAAGGCTGCATCCAAGGTTTCTATGGAAACACAAAGCCTCATGAAAACATCAGTTAATTTCATCATGCATTGCTAGGATAAAAATCAGCAAAGGTAAAGAAATGGGACAGATTTATGAAAGCATTCACACTAAGGGGTAATTGTCTCCTTTCGTGGCGTGCCTCTAATGTCAAAATGCCAGTAGAAATGTTCATTTCAAACAGTAATAAGAATTCAAATTATCAGCATAGTGCTACTGGGTGGAAAAATTGGATTACTCATACATTTACAAGTTTATAAAACCTTCAGATGGAGGATTATATGAACATTGAGAGACATAATACAAATGCAATACTGATGAGTAAGAGAATAAGAACATTTTCAAAAGATCTTGAAGATGTCACTCTGTGTATTAGCTCTTTCGATTGGGTTAAACTGTTGTGCTTTATCCAGTATAGCAATAAAATGAGAATTTTTCAGTACTGAAAACATCAACCGGGATGTTTAAAAAATGAAGAATTCCAGTAAGGAAAGCTTTAAAACCTGGAAGCAAACATGTATAATCATGATCGGATGATCTAGGAAATGAAATAGGGACAAGGAACACAACATTTAAAAAAAGCTCATTGTATAAATGTGTTCTGTATGTGGTTGTTGAAGGATTTTCAGAGGTCAGAAATCAAGTACAATTTTAAAAATTCAGTCAGCTGAACTTTGGGGTTAATTTTGCTCTTTTTTATACACACACAAGATGGAAAGCAGTTTTAAGTTTACTGTTTAGTCGTTGGAATATCGTAGCTGTTGGAAGCTAACATTTTAGTACACCCTCAAACCCTTTACAAGAATCTTCAATGTGCATAGAATGACTGTTTATAATCTCAGAAAATGATTGCTTCCCTACATGTGACTTGTCATGACTCAATTGCCCTGACCCAATTCTTCAAAATGTGACATCTTCCAGAGTGTTCAGTTAGCCGCAGGGATGCTCTGAATATTTTAAGATTAGAGTATATATACAGTATGGAGAATCCACTCTTGTCAACTTGTGCTACAACTGTTTCATAGCATAGCCCACATTCAAGCTCAATGGGCAAATCAACACATATTCAGTCATCATTTTTTCAAAAGGCGAATGTGCTTTTCTCTGATGGTTCTCATGAAGCACAGCTTAGACAGCCTGATTAAGACTTTTTGCTCTTCGAAGTCATTCCCAATCCCCAGTGGAGTTTGAGTAGGATTAAATAACATGAATGCTATTGTACAAAGACAGATTTGAACTCTCAGTTGGTCCTTGCAACATCAATTCAATGCAGTCATAGCTACAAGGGGTCTACTGTACTGTATATTCCTAGTTTTGAAACAGTGGTATTTTTTTTCTAACCTTATCTAGGCATAATGTGCTCAATCAGTTAGACTGGTTGTTTAATTGCAAATGAAGTGTGAAACAATTTGCTTATAAATTAAGGCAATTATGTACTGTTTTATCAGTATTACTGTCTACTAATTGAAAAACAAACTATATTTTCTAAAATATAGTACTATATTTTTGTAGTTCAGGAATTTCCCTTCAAAGTGGAAGCAGACATCTATGCCAAGTGTATGACAGATTTCACTGTAAAACACACCTAGGAAAACAAATGTCTCCAAAATTTTACATGAAAAATTCATAGCAAGCTCTTTCCTCAGCTGCCAGTCATGTTGTGTTAAATGGCATATGCACATTTGTTCCCCTGCTTGGAAATCAAGATTCACCATGCAAATGCCTTTATTTGGTCTGATCCCCCGACCTGTCAATTTCGTGCTGTTGATGTGCAAAAACAGCATGAAAAACTCTTAATCCAAGTTGAACATGCAAACCTCACCATTGACTAGCTTTCTAGGAGGCTGCTCTTCGATCCTAGAAAACCTTGGTTTTATGTCAGGACTGCTGCTCAAACGCCCTTTCTAAATGTCAGTGAGTGAATGCCTCCTGAGGTGAATTACATTTGATAACCTGCAAGCCATGCTGGTCTTAAATGAGGCCTGAAATAGAGACTTGTAAGATCTGAACCAAGTAAGGTGTTTCTTTTTTAATGCTATTTTTAATACTGTCATTGATCATTGTCACACAGTGTTGAAGAACTCTTTTAAACTAATTTATGAATAATATGAAAGAAAACATTCCTCTTAGTATATCCTTGTTCTCACACAGGTGGGGAATTTATAATTAGATACATTATGAAATATTAAATGCTGAGCATTAACATTTGTTCTTATTATATTTGTTCTTATATATACAGTATATATTCTAACATTTGTTCTATCTTATTATATACATGTACAGTGTCTTGCACAAGTATTCACACAGTTTTAATCAGAACTTCAATGCTCACTGAACATTTTTAGGGGTTAAAGAATTAGATGTTAGCAAAAGCAAAAAAATATGCAGATTCACTATATTGCATTTTCACCCCCTTAGTTTCAGTATTTCAGCACTTTTGACAGCAATTACTGTACAACCACAAGTCTTTTTTTATAAGCCTCTACTAAACTCTACTTTGCATGCCAAGGTGGTGCAAGGTTCATCTATATTTTTCTTTGCAAACTTTCTCAAACTCTCTCAATCTGGTCATAGATTGTTAATGGACATCTTGTCAGTTCTTTTTTATCGCATTTAATTTAGGTCACTCAAAAATCTTCACTTTACTTTTTGTTCTGATCCACCATTATACTTTAGGCATTGTACTTTGCATCATTGTCATGCTGAAAGGCGAATTATTGTCCTAGTTTTAGGTCTTCAGCAGACTGAAGCAGGTTTCCCTCTAACATTTGCCTGTTATTCGCTCTATTCCATTTCCTGTTCAATCCTGATAAGCTTCCCTGGCTTCCGGATAAAAAGCTGCCCCATAACATAATACAGCCACCACCATGCTTGACAATAAGGAAGATATTAACTGCACTGTGTTGGGACTGTCAGATGTAAGGCTTTACATTTAGTACAATAATGTTGCCTAGTCTGAACACGAAAACCTTTGGCCACATGTCTGCAGCCATCATACTTCTGGCATCAGAGGGGGTGGCAGTTTTTTTTTGCCACTGTAGAGCCTCTACTTTTCTTGGAAATACCCAGAACAGAGGTCACGGACCTCATTGTTGGTTCTTTGGTGAGAGTTTAGAAATGCCCATTTTCACATGGGTGTAATAAGAAGTTTTGTTTTCGGCATTTTTACCAGTATGCACGGTGCTGGTCAGGTTTAAAAGGCAAACGGTACAGCTTCTTGGATTGCACTTCTCTTGGCCATCATGTCTTTTTGTCCTGTATTACAGACCCCTGGGACTACCCTGCTTGAGGTTAGGGTCTGTCACAGCTTTCTTAGATTTCTTAAGTAATGACTTCCTTCTTGTCACTCTGGCAGACAAGCCAGCTGTGTAGAGTGACTGGGATATTGACACATGAACATTTTATCCCAATTCACCTATCGAACACTGTGGTTCTCTGAAAGTTACTGTTGACCTCTCAGTGACATCCCTAACCAGTTTCCTGTTTTTTCCAACATTACATTTAAAAAAAAAAATCCAGCATCTTTTTTAAGATAAATATGACAGTTTCGCCTTAAATATCTTGCTTAATGGGATGATTGCCCAGTGGATTGACTGCCTGGGTGCATTAGGCTTGATTGGTAAACCAAGTAGTTCATGTGTGGATTGTGGCCGGTAGTATCAGCGTGCGAATGTGCTGGTTGCCACTAGCAACGGCAGGACTCGAGCCGTTCCCAGCGCAGGCATGACAAAAGGAGGTGAATCTGTAAATTGTTATATTTTAGCTTTTAATTTTTCTTCGTAGTTTTTACTGACATTCATGACATTTAACGACTTTCACTCATAAAAGTGTTCAGTTTGTGTATTTCTGTTTTGATTCAAAAACTTTTTAAAAAGGTACTGAAATCAAGGGGAGACTAATGGAAGGTGCACGCTTTTACAAGCCACTGTATAAAGGTTTAGCAAGACTACTGGCTCAAATAAAAAAAAGTATTTTTTACTGAGAAGATGTGTATTTGCAGTCATTTGTACAAGAATTAAACATTTCTTAAAATTCCACACACATTCTTAAATTGTTATAATGTTCTTTGAATATCAAATTTTGGTGTATTTTTACCAGATTGAATGACATGATGAAGTAAAAATTTATATTAGTCCACAACTCTAAGTCTTCTGTTAAGACCACACAAACAATAAGATTTCTGACCATATTTCACCATTGCTGTTATTAACTTACTATTTTAATCATCACCTCATATCACTTTCAATAAACGCTGAACTAATCTGGAGTCATGGCCTGGAGCCTATCCTGGAAAGCATTGGTCACAAGGCAGGATACACCCTGGATGGGACGCCAATCCATATTTATATCATTTGTTGCACATTAAAGTCACCAATAAAACACATGGTTTTCTGATCAGTTTAGTCACTATCATGTTTCTGTATTAAAGAATTTCTTTATCATTGAAGACTTTAGTCCAAGTATTTTTATAGGTGTATTTAAATTATCTGCTTTCTGACATGAGAAAAGTGTTGAACTGACTCAACAAAGTGTATAATTACTTCCATTGTTAAAGAAAGATATCAGGTGAAATAAAAACCAGACTATGTAATCCTGAAAGACTAAAGCTAAGTATGCCAAGCTAGACTATAATGCTTCAGAAATGTCAAAGTAGGAGAAATTTAAATGGATATTTAAGAAATAGTCTTCTCATCTTCATGAATATATTCATTTGACTTTTTCTTACTCAATGTAGTGTTGCCATACTTTTGTTTTGCCTACACCTTTGTAAAACAAATCTAATGTGTTTTACAAATATACTGTATTTGCTTCTTATGTGTGCATCAGTTTAATGGACTCTTCAGAAGAAGTTTTTGTTTAAACAACCTCTTCCACACATTTGAATAATCCCCTCTCCCCAAAAAATTAAAAGCTCTCTTTATATGCTAGAAGCCCCAGGTGATTGAATTGGAAGAGACAAACTCATTGCTGCTCAATTAGCCTCATACAAACAGCCACAACACCTCATCTGTACAATGCAGTTACCTGCTCCAAGTCACAGTATGCATTTCTGTACACTACAAAAGAGGCACACAATAAAGTACAATTTACAGGTTTCCCAGGGTTGTTTATGAATACACAGGGCTTCTTTCCAAATGTATGCAGACAGCATTTTACTTTACTTTACAAGTCCATTGTTTCATTTTTCTCCATATACTGTAGCTTACATGTACTCTACGTGCATAACTTTCCTTATACTGCAAATGCATATTGTGTATAGTAATACCATAGCATCACATTGTGGAAATATTTTTGAATGTTAACAGAAGTGATTAGAAAAGCGGCAGGGCTCTGTTGCTGATGCTGCCTTCTGTTTTAAGCAGGTCCCCAGTGGTATCCTTCTCGAACAGGCCTCAGGGTTGATCGCAGTAAGTAAGCCTTATGCACTTCAATATTTAACACTGAGAATTATCTGCCAATTAGTATCAACACATATCTTTGCATGAGATGCTGACTACTTAATTTCAGTATATATTGCAATGAGTAATGTCTTAAAGGTAATATGCCAAAAAGCTAAATGAAATAAAGAAATGGTTCATTAAGGTCAATGATTGCAGCTCTTAAGCCTCTGCTAATTAATGCATTCACCCTTAGGGATGCACTTGAAGGTTTTTTTTGTGGAGTTTTAATGATTTAAAAAGGCCTTTGAAAAAGAACTACACCACAATTTTCACTTTTCCAGCCAAAAAGAAACCTGGCCAGTTATATAAAAAACATATTATTATCACACACAGAAATGCACCCTTACTATAGAGTGTACTGTAAGTATATGTTGCACCAAACCATTTTCTATTACAGAGCTATTGTACTTAATTATCCTGAGCAGGAAACTGGAAAAATATGGCTGTTATCCTTTTGGTAGCCAAACAAGATAGTAAAATTCAAAAGTGGCTTTAAACAAATCAATATAAACATTTTATTTGTATGCATAGCTTTCTGCAGCTAAGAATATGATTTGTATAGTGTATGTTGTTACTTCCTGTGTAGATCACTTTCCGCTAGTTCGTGTTAGACTTAATTTGCCTTGCCACTGCTTCTCTGCTCTTCAGTCTCCTTGTTTTCCTCTCACTTTAAGATTGAACTAGTTTGCTAACAATATCAGAATCTAAATCATTAATAGAGATCAGTAAGAGCAAAAGACCTAAAACATGTCTCTGTGGTATATCACTGCTTACATTGGCCCACATGCATAAATTACTTAGGATTCTTACAGCTTTTAATTTGTTGATTAACCTTTTATGAAGGACCATATCAAAAGCTTTCTAAAAATCTAAATATAACATCAGATGCTTTAATGTTACCTATAGCTCTTGTTGCTTATTCCAGGAAAGCTTGAAAGTAATGCTTTTTTTTTCTAAATCCATTTTCACTGTCTCTTTTGTTATTATTTTGTAAATATTCTAGTTTAACTCCAGCAATAACTTTACCGATAACACATTTAAGACTACTGTTTTGGCCTACTATCTCCTGGTTCAATGTTTTTGTCCTCCTTTTTATGAATTGGTGCCACATTTGCAATTAAAATCTGATGGTACAGCTCACACTTAGTTACAGTTGAGATATCCCAGTTGAAAAACATCTCTCATTTCCTCAAATGCAACTAGGAAAATACCATCTGACCCTTGAGATTTGTTAGTTATAAACCCTTCTAGTCACTGGAATACTTCAGTGTAAGCTACACTGAAATTACTTAATACTGATGAAGCTCCTTCAATACTGTCAGTAAAGTCATAGTACCACTATTCTGTTATACCTGTAGCGCAGTGTAATCCTTTTCTGGTATTGAAATGTAAGCTTTTTTACACTGTTTGTAGAGCACTTGTGTTCTTTGATTTTATTTTTCTTAATTTCTGCATTAAACCACTCAAACAATATTGGACATGTTTGTTTTAGGGATTAAATTAAAATTAAATTAAAAAATTAATTTATTTTGAGCATTTCACATTATGATATCAAACTACAGCAATCCATCTTCTGTTGACTGTATTGATCTGTTCCCTGTTCACTGTTTGTAAGATCTGTCTCATTCATTTATAGTTTTCTTTTCTAAACAAATGTAAACTCTAATTTTAAATTCTAGATTTAGAACAACATATTAAAAAAAAAACAAATTATGGTTAGGATTCCCCAGTGGTTTTAATGAAATATTTTTTTACTCCAATCGTTCTATCACATTTAGTTTTCTCCCTTAATTCTCTCCTAGTTATTATAAAAAATCTTGGTAGGTTCCTTTACAAACTGGATTAAGAATCAATTATTAAGCCTCTGAGGTTAATTAATTAATATTCCCTTTATGTGTGGGAAGTTGAAATCTCCCATTAATAACACCTTTTCAACGTACCTTCATTATTTCATAATGCAGTAAGATGTTTACACCCATTTTATGTCTATAGGTTGCAACACCAACCACTATATTACCTTATTAATAGTTATATCCTGTTCCGTTTACATAGCTTTACCTGGTGCCAAGCTCATTTTTAACAATTAAGAAATAGAAAATTCAGCAAAGCCAGGAGAGTATTCAGTCAAGTCAAGCTGATGCTGAGCTGAGCTCTCTAGTCTTTTTGTGTGATCTTTCTTTCAGGAATCTAACCTCTTGAATCAGAAAATAAACAAATCATTATGCAAGCATATTAGTCCCTGTCATAAATAATAGTCAGGTGATCTATTTTCTGAGCAAACCAATATTTCTGTGTTTTTCGGTTGTTGGAAATCCTACATTACTTGATAAATGATACAGTAAGTGAAGTGTAAAGTCAGTTCAGGTACAGTATATTCACTTTCTTTCATTAAGAAAGAATAATGAATACTGCTTTCAGATTCTTGCACATGGCAGGAGGTAAATGTGGAATAGTCAAAACCAAAAGCAACAAATACATTGGCTTCAAAGTCAATGAAAACTGCAGTGGGAGAGATCATCCTAATACATCTTGGGCTACACTTCGAACTCTGATAATAGAAGATTCTATAAGACTCAACATAATTTCAACTGATAATTTTTTATTTCTGAGGGAATACGACGATTGTTTCACCAATGTGACTTATTTTTTAGTGGCTTTCTTAGTGTACAAAACTCAAGTTTGATTTGTTGGAGAAGGGGTCGATTTCATTTCCGTATATTTATTGAATGGCTCCTCCAGGTCCGGTATGGCACAATATTGACCTTAACAGGAAGAAACAGAATGTGAAATACTATGTAGTGACATGTTCGTGTGAGTAGCAGGTGATGGAATTGTCACCTTTTCATTTATGTACTGTATTTGTTTAAATACTTTTTGTGCGGAATGGTGACATGGCAAACATTGGTTCTGCCTCAACTCCATCTCATATTTTATGGTGGATTCAGGGTTTGCATTTTTAAACTTTATTTTTAATTTGTTTATAAACTATTTTATGTATTTAGCTATTTTTTGATTTGACTGCTATCTCCTTGCAGTTTGAAGTTTCTGTGCTTACGAATTGTATTTCCAATATTAAATTCTGGACACAACTGAATTTATTACAACTCAATTATAACAGCATCTACTGTGTAAACATGAACTGTGTGAACCTGGCATTTAATGGTGTTCAGTATAATATTTGCTTAAAGATAAAAATTTCACAGTCAGCTTTGACCCCAGCTTAACTTTTGAGCCTCACCTTGAAAAAAAACATATTTTTTTAAATCTGGAAAATAGTGCATAGTTACACCCTCATTTGTTTATGCATGATCCAGAAAAATGGTTGAAATGTTTTACTTTTCCCATCTTGGCTTGTAATATCCTGCATGCATGCAATGTAACCAAGGACACCATTAATATATTTCAATGTTATATTAACCAGGACGCCTTGTACTTCTAATTTAGAATCTGAACAATAGCCTCAGTAGTAGTTCTATATTGTAATTCTACAGAATTAGAATTTATATTATCTCAAATATTATTATAGGAAATAATCTCATTTGTGGTATTAAGTCCCTATTTTCCAAAAATGCTAATAGGATTTCGTCTTTTATAAGTGCTGACCCTGGAACTCACCCTCCCCTCCCTCCCTCATCCAGTCAGTTACAAATGTATGCTGTCCCCTTCAGAAAGATGAGAGAAAGAAAAAGACTACATTCTTAGTCTTGCTACATCTGAGCTGTTAGGACTATCCATTTAGAAGCGGTGAACTCTTCAGCCTCCTACACTGATGTGAAGTCCGCACTAGCATGCAGGACTGTACACACAGTCGGGTACATCAAGACTGGACCCACATCTTCTTCAGTGATCTCCTCAGTGCTGCAAAGGCACATTTACATTCGGCTTCTCCTCTGGACAGTAATTCGGGTAGAAGCAGAGCATAGATTATTCTGCTGAACAAACAGGACTCGCCTGCCTACTTTCCCTAAAAAATAGCCCTGTCTACAGTATGTGCTCACTAAACTTCAAAATAAACACACAGGTTTTGTTGTGGCTTCCAGAGGAGCAGCCTTCATGTGTGCTGTCTCATTGTACCAGATTTTGGGTCCACTTAGGGATGTCGTGGTTATCTTGCACTAAACATGTTCCGGCTTTGCTGCATGTGAAAATAATATCGTATTTTGTATCTGTTACTCTTCTGAGACATAGCCTAACTGGCCTAATTTAGAGGCCAGTTGAGCACCTAAGTTCTCAGTCAATGCTGCAATTTGCAGACCTCTGTAACAAAACCACCATTTTAACGACTTTCAGGGTTTCAAACTGAGGAAGAAATGGTTGAGGATTCCTGCTTTTATATAATATTCAAATGTAATCAATATTAAATCAACTGCAGGGGTATTAATAAATAATAATAAGAAAGTACACCAGTAACAAGAGATGTAGTATCACGCTGTTATTCTACTATACCCGTAAAATGATTTTGTCCATAAGCATTAAATGGTTCCCTATATTTCTGTGATATTTTATCTGTTATGACCTCTAATGACAGCCTTCAATTCTAGTGTTTTACTGTGTGTGTTGTGCCTTCTAAGACTTCATTTTGTAACTTAATTTTACTATCTACATTTCTATGTATAGTACAGTGCTTTGAGATGCACTGTACATTTGAAAAACCACTTCATAAGACAGATATTTTTTCATAATTAAATAGTCTGGAAATGTAACAACATTACTGTTTTTTAATGCCTTAAAGAACTGGCTCTTATTTAAAATGATATACAGTAAGAATAGTTTAGAAGCAAATTACCTTGAGTAATTATTGACCTGTAGATATAAAAAGAAAGAGACTTCTCTATTGAATTCAGTTAATGGGCGTTTAATATAACAGGATGCTATGTTAAGGACCATGTAAAAAAAAAAAAATTCTTCCATAGTCCATGACAGACAGCTTGGATTACAGAAGTGACCCAGAGAGTCGAAGAGAGCAAGAAGTCAGTAGTATGGTTTTGATTTATGTTTTACACTTTAATGCATTAAATCTGCAAATTTAAACATTTTTTTCAGCTATTTAGAAATCGTTTTTACTAAAGTATATTGTTTGTTATAGATAAATAACAAGAATCGAAATCCTCGTTGGGAACAATCAGCTGCTAAAGTTGGTATTTCAGTATGTGCAGAAATAAACCAGGACTACACCAGACCCCAAGACACTGCTACTGTATAGTTCACAATTCTGGCAATAATAGCAATAAGGTTATTTTAATTAAATCCTGTATTGATTTTCTTGGTGCATTTTTATTTGTATATGTACAGATTGGCAGTTGCCATATTATGTTGTTTTTTTTTTTGTTTGGCAATGGCACTCCAATTAATTATTTTGGAGCACATCTGAATCCAATTAATATCCCTGAACCGTGTAGCACACAAACACTTCTCAGATCTTATAAAGCCTGAACAGAATTTCAAAACAAATACTGGGCTTTTCTTTCCATGTCCTTGAGTCCACGAAGGACTGTTACAGGTTGAAGTTTTTTTTTAAATAGAGCAGTTTTACGTCTGGTGATATATTATAAAAGGAAATACATAAATCCACAGTGAAAAATAAAATAAAGTCATTTTAATGCCAGTTCCCGTGAGGTTCAGACTAATTATTAAACCTAGTAGAGAGGCGTAAAGGTTTAGACATTCTGATCATCATGTAATCATACTTGTGGGTAACAAAGCTTATATATTTAATTAATTATATTTTATTGCTGTTAATGCTTCTCTGCTCTGGGATAATCTATTCTGGTGAAAAACATAGATTTCTTTTTCACAAAATGTAAATGCTACAAATGTTTCGTTTTATTGCAAGTGATTACAGACAACCCCTGGTAATTTATTGATTAGCTGTAATTCACCTTTATTTTGCAAAGATGGAGAAAACTAAATTGAAGCTTTTTAAAATCTTTTTATCCAATTGAAGCATACAATTATAAATATAAATCACTTTGACAAGGTGTGTGCTTTTACTGTACAGTACCTGCCTTCTGTCAGTCACAAGTGTTTATGAATGCCCCTCATTTAAGCACATCCATATGGTAGTGCATTGAAATAGATTGGTCTCCTGAGGAAAAAGGCTACCAATGCAACCTTTCACTGCACTTTATAGGCACAGCTAATGTGGCAAGAAAACAAACACTATTCATAATGCCAGTCACATCCCTATCTCAACTGGTCATCCAGATGTTCATCTTGAGCAGCTGTGTTGATACTAACAAACTGTGAAAATTCAAATAAACTCTTAACATGAGAAAAGACTAAATTAAAATCACATCTGAAACTATTGAGGGCATATGCGGTTGTTTCTTACAACATTATATTGTGTTTAAAAAGTAACCTTCAAGAGCAAGCTACAATGGAACAATGTTTCTTTTGGGAAAAGTAATGATTTAAACAAAAATATTTGAGATAGAATAAGAAAAAATGTTACAATGGCATTTCTTAAGGGCAGACTTCAGAAATAACTAACACAAGCTTTGAAAAAAATTATACAACATTTTGAAGGATCTAGAAATCTGACCATTACATATACTGAGATTCGAAATATACAGTACTGTCTGAGGTCTCTCGTCAGAAAGTCCAGGATCCAGTTACAGAGGGAGGTATTGAGATTCGGCAAGCTAAATTTTCCTATCAGCTTCTGGGGAATGATTGTATTAAATGCTGAGCTGAAGTCAATGAACAGCATTCTTACATACTGTACTGTAAGTATCCTTCTTATCCAGGTGGGACAGGGCCAGGTGAAGGGCAAGAGATACAGCATCATCAGTAGACCTGTTAGGGTGAAATGCAAACTGAAAGAGGTCCAAAGAAGTAGAGAGTCTGGACTTTCTGAGGCCCATGACTAGTCTCTTGAAGCACTTCATAATAATTTGTGAGCGCCACGGGGCAGTTATCACTGAGGCAGAACACAGCTCACTTTTTCTGCACTGGTATAATATTGGTGGGCTTGAAGCATACAGGGATGGCCACCTGGCACAAGAAGATGTTAAAAATATCTGTAAAGACATCAGCTAGCTGATCTACACATTCTTTGAGTACGTGAGTATATTGTCAGGTCCAGCAACCTAAGCCTTGCAGTCCTAAGGGTGCCTTGTGGCCTGATCTGAATGCAGCATCACGGGAATCAAGCAAACAGCACTCAAAATTAATGCAGATGACTTTTTGTCTCTTTCAGGCATTAGTTTCATTTTTTCAAGGTTTTAGGTTTTTAAATGTTTTCTTTTTAATAATGGTTTGAGGATCCATAATAAACATACTTTTTCTGTAAAGAGGTTTCAAAGTGCTAAATATGCTAAACAACAAGAGCCAGCAATCAGACAATCCCAAAACCAGTTATATAATTTGCAATGATTGTTGAGGAGTAGAAGTAGAAAGAGAACAGCTAGGTTTATTGCAGATTAATCAGAAAAAGAAATTGCCAGAAATATAGTTTGTTGCTTGAATTTGTTTCACTGTCTAATACTAGAACTTTCTGAAATATTTATGTACTGTACTGTAATGCACTTATTAAGTCTTCCTTCAATAGTACTTTAAAATAGGCTTTTATTATTTTTCTTAAATAATTTCTAAAATATGTTCACATTTTATATAAAATGTAATAGGACCTGTAATAAAGGTATTTTACCTAGAAAACATAGACTGCATTTAATAAATATAATAGTTGTAGCTTTCAAAATAAATGATATGGACATAAACAGATCTATTCTCTGGACAGCGTAAGAAATAAGAAATGGAAACAGAAAAGACATTCCATTGCCAATTTATGGAAATTCAATGCTATTCATTTAATCTCTGACTAAAACAAATGATAAACATCATACAGGGTATAACAAATATGCTGCAGACATATTTGTCATTATTGTGACCATTCTCAATATTAACAAATCAAGAGCTCTCATGTGTTTTTAATGTCCACTTAAGTCAAAACATTGTTTAAAGCACCAGATAAGTTCATCAATGTCAAAGAAGCCACTGGCGAACATACAACTTGCATAACATAGATCTTTTATCTACATAAAGCCAGTCACAGCATTAATAAGACATTCTCAGGAAACATGACATTCCAAACTTGCAATCAATGCCCTTAGGTTGTACCATTCCAAGATAGAACATCAATTTCAATTTGTTCTTTATTTGTCAGCACTGGAGATGGTCACAAACCTGCTGCACTTTGTCAAGCACTTTACCCTGTGCTGGTGAAGAAATAAAGAACATTGATTATTCCATGAATCTGGCATTGAAGTGACCTTTTGTTGCTGCCATGTCCCATTTTATTCACTGGGTACACATCTGATTATATGATTATTACTTGTGAACCAAAGAAGATCTATGTCTGAGCTAGTTGGACACTGATACCAGTACTCTTCAAATATTCCATATTCTTAAAGGCATAGTTCAACCCAGTGGGCTTCTTCAGGATCTACAGTGAAACATTAACTGGGAGAAACCAGTGGAGAATACCTGGAAATGCATTTCAAACTAGAACAGAAGGCACGATATTATTCAAGGGGTTCTAAGACTATGGGACAATTGGCAAAGCCAGTACCCTTACTTTTTTTCAAGACACAGCTGGATGTGATCCTTGAACCAGTTAGCTCCTAACCGAGAAGAGCACTTTATTCTTATTGCTTTCAAAGTTTTGTAAAGATCACCTTCTTAGTCTATCTTAAACAAATAGTGCCCTGCCCAAAACATTAGATGTTCCTAATAGTGGCTGGGTACACTTCCAGTGGTGATATAGCTGCTAAATGTCATGGTCTTAATTCCTCCAGATGTTCACAGATGTCCCTGGAGATAAGGGACCACTCTGCCAACAAAAGCTGCATTTGAACTCTACATGATGGGTAACAGTTCAATAAGGTTTTGTAATCTGAACTGTGTCTTATGGTTTATCTAGCAACATATAAATTCTACCTGAATCAGTACATTAAAGTACCAGTAGTAAGCGCACCAACAATCATACAACCTGTGTGGTCACTTTGTCACAGTAAATCATCCTTCTTTCCCATAGCACAACAACTGTGGAGAAGGCCTAGTCTACTGCTTTACAGTCTGTAAGAATCATGAATGTGCTTTTCACATGTGTTCTTTATCTTGCAGATGGTCCTTTCCTGAAAGATTCCTGCATTATCCACACCATTGCCTCATCTTCCCTTGTTACTTTGTATTTCACAGACTTGGGCCGGCAGGTCAGCTGGAGCACAGTAAGTGCATGAACTTAAAAATGTGACTAGTGGAATGTGTTTCTCACTCTTGATAAATTCTATATCGCTTTATGTATGTGCATTGGTTTCTTTTGCGGATGAAACTGTTATATTGTTTTTTATTAGATTTTGAGTGGGGAAAACCCTTATGTACAGCAACACTATTGATACAGTAATTACACTTTCAGTGATACCAGTTGGACTGTAAGGTAGAAAAACTTGCACTCAGGGTTATATTGATGTTGACACTTAGTATTTTGTATGGCACTATTTAAACACTGGGAAAGAGAGCTTCTCATTTATTGACAATGCTGTACTGTTTGGTAGACTTAATTGATTTTGAGCCTTGTGGTAAATATTTTGAGCGTCTTAGGACATTGTACACTAGTAATGTGTTATTTTGTAAACTGAAATAGAGTTTGGGAATATGTGTTCACTATTTTGACATTGTCAATACTATTTCAGGAACTGGTTTTAAGAAAAACATCTTTCTTTAGTATTTATATAAAATACATGTTGATAGCATTATCAGTTCTTGACTTTGCTGATGAAAAGTTTCCAGCAGAACAATAATGACTTACTTTTTTATTCTTTATATTTTCTTTGAAAACTAAAATACAGATAGGACACTTAGTCCCATTCCAGGTGACCTGAACAGTAAAAGGCTAGAGGTTGGGATAATATAGTTATTATATGTGTTACTAAAACACCTGTTTTCTTCTTTTGTTTTCTAGGTATTTCTAACTCAGTATTTTGGACCTCTTTTAATCTACCTGATGTTTTATTTCCGTTTATCAGGTGTGTATGGTGAAACAAAAAGCAACCGACATCTAGCAGTGAAGTAAGTATCATGGATCTATTTGCATCTATCACAAAACACCTACATGTACAGTATCTGAACATTGTTCCTATAACCATAAACTAGAGAATTTCTTTCAGGGAACAGGTGTTATCCTATAACTCTACATTCATCATTAAATCAAAAGCGTTATTCCGTAAATAAATTAAGTTAATGGGTATTCCCACTACATACTGTACAGTTCCATCCACCAGATCATATGCCAGGAGACAGAAAAGTATATTCTTATTATAAAGTATATAAGGGACTGAAGGTAATGATGATAATGCTCAGTCTTTTTTGCTTTAATTCCAGGATGTCTTTTAAATATTAAATTTTAGAAGAGCACTGAGTTTTATTTAGGTCAGCTAAGTAGTCAGTTTATTTAGTTAAGATAATGTAGAGATCAAGTGAAACTCTCTGTGCTTTCCCTGAGATGAATGAACATTTTGCTGAATGTATAATTTGAAGGTTGACGAATGAAATATGTTCATTAGCTGCCCAGAATCAGGGGTGGTCACAAATGCTGCAGTTCTTGGTTTGCTAATATACAGTATTGGCAATCCTAAACCGATAATTGTGTTTCTTCTAAAATATAATAAAAGATAATAAAAGTGAGTTAAATTATATAAATAACTGAGGCTCTACATATCCTTTGCTTTCTAAATCAGCTGAACAACAAGAACTTTGTGTACATTTTTTCTGTTTGTTCTCTTATCTTTATACATCTTTAAAATGTATTTGTTTCTGCATTTCAGTTCAACTTCAAATATATTTATTTTGCTCAACAGGTGACCATTTCCTAAAATACTCTTTCAGTAATTTTCCTTTTTATCCACTTGGGCTGCACTTTTACAGTATGTGTCGTAATATTTGTTTCATTATTCTCTCTAAAGCTTGGCCTGCTTTTGTCACTCCCTGCACTACATCAGACATCTTCTGGAGACTCTTTTTGTTCACAAGTTCTCGGAAGGATACACACCTTTACAGAACATGCTGAAGGTACAACTTTTAAATTGTCAAAATAAAGGCATCAAAAATTTATTTTAATTTAAATGTATAAATTAAAATTGTCAGTTTTCTTAACGTAACCCTGGATTTTTTTCAATATAATCAGACCAGTTTTCCACAACACCCCAGAAAACAAGTTTTGTAACACATGCAGCTTCCAAAAATGTCTGCAAGAGGATAATGGTTGTTTAGAATTTGTTGCCTCATATGAGGTCCCTTCTGGTTCCCTGGAGTTCAGGATTGTTTTCCAAGCAGGAAAAATATTACAAATGGACCTACAGTATTTCATCTCAATGTGAATGTTTAAAAGATCATGGAGGTACAGTTGGAAAAAAGACTTGAAACTGATTTGAAACTGTAATTTTGAACATTTTCACATTTTTAAAATGTATTTTTTTTGTAAATATGGCATTAATTGCAAAAAGGTGTGTTATCTTACTGCATGCTCCTAGTTTCTGGTCAAAAACAGTACAAACTAGTGAACTCACTATAGTATCACAGTGCCTTGGATTCTGCAAACCATTTTATAACTCTTGGGTGAAAAATGGATGAATTAATTGGGAACTTTACATTGTTGCCAGAAAGTTATCACTTTACCAGCTATTAATATGTTTTCAATAATCTGAAACACTTACGCAGCAGAAGTGAGAAATTGATTAAAATAAAAAAAAACTAATGAATAATGGTATATGAAGATATAATGGTTTCGAAATGGAACCCTTGTTTACTGAAATACCCATTAGAGAATTTATAGAAAAGTAAATCTAAATTAATTATTTTTATTTGATAAATATAAAACTCTCAAAGAGATGTTCAAGCTGTTGGACTTGGAAGAAAAAAGACTTAAGACAAACAGAGCTCATATGAGCCTCTTTCAATATGCAGATGACATTGTCATTTTGCCAGAAGCCCTGAAGAACTACATCTTCAAATACAAAAATTCTTAGATGCGAGTAAGATTTGACTCAAAATCAACTTAAGCAAGATGAAAGTGATGTGTAAGAGCTTTGTAAAAACTAAGGAGACTGAAACAGATCAAACAGAACATGAAAACGCCAACAGTTCTCTCTGTCTTTGGCAGACACATGGGTGCAGATGGAGACATGATGGCCAATATGAGAAAGTAAAAAGAGTGAAAATGGGATGAAGTACAGTACAGTATATTTGTAATAAACAATTCAATACTGCGAGGAAATCTGCCCACTTGTCTGTACAGAAAATATTTCAACCAATGCATGTGACCATCAGTGACACATGGCTCCAAAATGTGGTATTTACAGCAGATGTGAACAAGGACCAAATATTACATACACAAAGAAACATGGACAGATGTTTGGGATAAAAAGAATGAACAGAAGAGAAATGCATGGATAAACTGACAATTAAAATAGCATTTTAAAATAGAATAACAGTTCAGCAATGGATGATGCAATGCAAGAGTGGAATTTGCAAGAGACAAGAAGCAGCTGGGAAGAACACAGAAACATGGAAAGATAAATCTAAAGCTTTACTTGTATAATCTGGAAAAGAGAAAGGGCATGACAGGACAAGTGGAGATAATCTTCATCCACCAGTGGATCAGGACAAGCTGCTGATGGTGACTTATGCAGTACTGGACATAATTATGGAAAAGAGGGAAAAGTGGATTCATAATGCAGAGTATTCTAAATTGATGATTTAAGGTAAATGTGAGGTGTTTTCTAATATAGTAGAACAGTATATCAATGCACAAAATACAAGTGTCTTGCAAACATCTTTGTACACTTCCTATGGTGTCTATTTTAATCAAACCTGAATGTTCAAGCCAAAGATACCTGAGGGTAAGATATGACTCTTAGAAAATGTCAGCAAAATCTTAAAGAGAAAAAAAAAGAAATATACTGTTTGCATAAATATTCATACCCATTAACTACAGTATCTGATGGAAGCACCTTTGGCAGTGATTCTGTCCACACTTTTATGGTGAATACCAACTTTGCACACCGACTTGGTACACTTTCGGCACATTATTTTTGACATCCTCAATCAAGATCAAGTGAATTGCTTATGGACAGGTTAGGATTCACATCAGGACTTTGAGTGGGCCACTCATAGATATTTACTTTTTTATCTTGGGCCGTTCCTGTGTAGCTTTTGCCTTGAACTTTGCATCATTGTCTTGCTGAAAGGTGAATTTGTGACCAGGTTTTTGTTCTGAAGCAAGTTTTCCTCTTAAGATTTGATAATACCTTTCTTCATCTGTTTCCATCAATCTTGACAAGCTTCCTAATCGCTACCGATGAGAAGCGGAACTCTAACATAATGCTGTCACCACCTACCTTGACAGTAGTGAAGAAAGATATAAGATGTGAAAAGGGGGTTAACTGATTTCTTTCTGCACAAAGACTTCTTGTAACGCAAGACATTCCATGTTTAGGCGCCTCTGAGTTATGGTGGGATGGGAGTTAACTGATATGGAATTCCAAGTACAAGATAAAGACCCCCCTAACTAAGGAAAAGATAAAACCGACCATCAAAAGTGTTCACAGTCTTGGGAATGTCCAAACATAGGGAGCCCCCATTACTACAGTATGGTAACAATTTGCATCAGAAGCAGATTAAATTTGCTATATAAACTGGAATTTTTGTACCTATATTTCGAACAATACTTTGGTCTTATTGTTCCTTGCATGCAATAAACTCAGTTACTCAAACTTCATCTTGGGTTCTAGAACTTATTTGTCAGTTACTACAGTAGGGATGTTGGTTCACTGTTGGATTTGTGTCAGATATAATACTTTTCATTTAGACCACACAGTTCAACTTTTATCTTGTCTGACCACAATACCTTTTACACATTTGTAGTATGAAGTGCTTTGTTGCAAACTCATATAGAATACATATGGGATCTGAGTTCCATACAAGCCCCAATAAGCCTGTATTGACCTGGATATTGTTGAACCAATGGATGTTTCCCCCCTCCCACATCTCATCCACTGAGCTCTGTAACTCAAAATCATTTGTAGGGAAGGCTGATATTTCTTAATGATCTGACTCAACATTCACAATGAGATATTGAGGGTCTTGGAAATGTTTTTAGAACATGCTTTTAGAACGTTGTCCTTGAGTTGATTGGAAAGCTCCTTGGTATTCATGATGGCATCTCTGTTGCAAATTCACTACCTGACTGAGTGACCTTACAGAGACAGATGTATTTATTCTGAAATCATGTGAACCACTAGAATTGTGTGCAGGAGGAGGCCACTCATAATTCTGTGGTACAATAAAGTAATTATCTGCATCTAAGTTAATTTAAATTTGCCACAACAAAGGGTTTGAATGCTTGTGTGATCATCACTTTCCCATTTTTCTTTCATATTATTTATTTTGCTTCTTTTTGCTTTTGCTTTTAATGTTTGGGGTACGTTATGCATATAACAAATATTAATTGCTACTTCAAAGTAGTGTAGTGTTTAAATGCCTCTCAGTACATAATATATACAATATCATTAAAAAGTTTAAAAGCATCCTTTTTGGAAGTGCTGAGGCAGAGAAAATGATTGTTCATTTATTCTTCCCTGCCATCCCTAGGTTTACTCATAGTTTTGCATCACTAGACAGATAATTATTTCTGCTTTTTATAATACAATACAGACATTGATGAGGAAATTATTTAAATGTGATGGCAGGTAATTTTGTCCTCCTTATACTAGAATAGCTGCACAAGTGGGAAGTGTGTGTTGCCTGATAATCATGTTGAAATACAGTACATTTGAATCGCTTCCTAAATGTAAAGTGCATTTACACTTCAGAACCTTTTCAGTAATTAGAAGAAGCAACTGTGTGTTCAGTGAAACCAAGTGTTTAATATATACTGTTGGAATATCAAGCAACACCTCATTTTCTCCAGTTGTGAATCTTTACAATACTATTCTCTCCCTGGCCTCTTTTATGCCTCAGCCTTAAACTGAATATGAAGCATCATATCCCAATTAGGTCATTCTTGTTTAAAACAGGATGACATGTAAAAGTTGTTAAATTGAATATTTTGCATTTTTTCCACATACAGTCAGATCTTCTTTTGATATTCCAGTGCCCTTTGCTACAAGAAATTGTCAGTGGTGTTTTGAATTAATCTACTGGTTAAAGAACAACTACACTGAGATCATCTTATGGCTTGTTGTAGGAGCTTGAGTGAGAAACCTCAGATGTTCTGTTTTGAAGCAATCTCTAATTCATGTGCTTCATTAGGCACAAATAACCTTCTGAGTGTTTTTATAGTAAATAAAATAATTTAGAAATGAGGGAAACATCATTCTGTATCTGTTAATAAGTGTAAGAAATTACTTGAAAAGTGATGGAATTTGTAACAACACATACACTGTTATTTACACTTTTCTGTGCTCCAGAGTAGGTTTGTTAATTTCTACATGTGGTTATAACAAAATATGATTTCGGAAGGAAAGGAAATGATAGGTACTAAAATACATATTGAAAATCTTATGAAAAACAGATATACAGTATGTAAAAACTGATATTAAAACTATTACAAATACTATTCTCTAAGTTTGAAAAGAGCTTTTTAAGTAATCATTCCTCTGCCCACAAGCTACAGAGAAAGAAGGACTGAGAGCATTTCTGAAGAAGATGGACAGACACATCAGGAGATATTTGCATAAAGCTGGGTTTGATTCTTCATTCTTAGACACTACAGTAAAATGAAAGACCACTGACAGCAACACTCATTATTGTCAGCTCCCAGAGAATCCCCACGAGTGTCATAAAATGTCAAAAGCCTCTGTTTGCATTCTAAAGTCAAATGGAAAATATGAAATTAGACAACATTAATACAGCACATTTTCGATAATGAATATGGATGTTCACAAAGTGTTAGAGCTTTCCAAAAAGTCAACAAAAAATATTGCAATCTGCATCTTTATTTTTATACTGTACTTTAATTTCATGGAAATTTTAAATCACAGTCTATTTAGAAATTAATTTTCTAGAAATTAATAAAAATTCAGTTTTCTTTCCTTAGAGCAGAAATAAAGCTCAAAACTATGTATTGAATACAATACTTTAAGAAAGGCTAGTTAAAAAAACCCAAAATAATATATTACTTCCTAAATAATATAAAATAAATAATATACATTCCTACAGTATACTGTATATCCAAGATTTGAGGGAAAATCATGTCATATTACATATCAGAAATGATACACTTGAACTTAATTGTTTTTCATTTTTTTTAAATAATTTAAGTTTGAAATGTTCCGGCTTAAACTGTTTATGAAAAGATAAATATGAGGAAAACAGCTGCAGACGTTTGTCAGTGTTGGACAGGGTTCTACCGTAGAACTCAGTCATTTGCATACTGGACTGTGGGACACTGATTTACTTTTTCAGAGAATTTCACACTATTTTACAGAATTGAATCATTGCTTGATAAATAAATTAGGAATTGTGAAAAACATGAGCAGAAAAGGTGAGAAAACATGTATTGACTTTTTTCTGCACTAAACCTGCCGAATACAATGCATTGAAGATGATGAGCTGCATGTTAGTAAAGACAAAATTGAAAAGCAGATGACTATAGAATACTCATCTAATAAGTTGGTTTATTTCAGTAATATCATGGTATGATTCCAATCAAGTTATTCATTTTCTCTCCGGCTTTATTTTATGAAGGTCCAGTGTTTCTACAGTACATGTTACAACAAAACATTTTAGCTGCGTAAGCACACTCTTTTGTTTCTGCAGTATTTTTATAATTTGTCACAGACTCTGCACAATGCTTTTGCATCAAAAATACACTGGCCAAGTTCTAGTAAAGTTAATCAAAGACTGTGCTTAAAACAGCCTCAGTCTTCATAAAGCATGTTTTTTGACGCGTGATTATAAAGTCACCTTAATTGTGATGGAGAAAAACACATACCAAAAATGAATACTTATCCAATCAACATATTTTAGTTTTTTTACATTTTTTATATTTGCAGTTAATGCTGACATTTAACATTCAGTGTTCAGTTTGTGCATTCAAGTTCTGATTAAAAAGTTTTTCTTTAAATTAATATGTATACATAATTTGTAAGTAAAAAAAAAGAGATAACAATGGAAGGGGGCAAGTACTTTTGCAAGCCACAGTTAATGAAATGTTAGTACCGCACTCAATCAAAAACGATCTCCTATGAATTACCTTTCATCCAATCAAGCTTCTTGATTAGAGTACTGTAATAAAGAGGGCTTCAACACATTTATGAAAAGAAACATTTTCTGTCCCTTACAATAATTACAATTCTTTCCATCATGACGATTACAGAATGATTGCTTTGAACATTGCCTTTCTTACAGGGTTGTGCCTTTTACTGGGGATTCACGGCCTGGCTGGGATATTATGTCAACCACCCCTTATACACACCTCCATGTAGGTATTCCAGATCCTGGGTTATTAATGAAGGTTGGATTTCATTCCACTTTCCATTGCATAAAGCTTATGATCTTTCTCACATTGCCATAAATATTGTCTCTGAACCTGTACGCATGCTGCTAAGTGCATAGGCATAGGTCGTCTTCACTACATGGCTGCATAGCAGATGAAAGTGAAGAATGAGAAGGACTAGACAGTGAGCATGAGAGGGATGCTGGCGCTGAGTTAGAAGGTGACACTCTGGGGCGGTCATGCTGGGATGAATGGGAGATGTAGCCAGAAACAGTGCTTTTTAATCTGTTAAATCAGTAGGCTTTTTGACAGGTTCCGTTGGTGGCTCTGGGAGTTTGGACCCATCCTGATGTCAAATAAACCCCAAAACCACATGGAGCTCCTCTATAAACAGATTGGGAAGCACAGGGAGGTACAGCAGGAGTGATAATGGAGCTACAGAACTGCATTAAAGCCTTGAACTCTCCTTCAGTTTGTGTTTTCTTCAAAAATATGTTTTTTTTGTAAGAAAGCAGATTTTCTTCATTGCCTAGTCCTGTTCTCAGAGCTTTCTAGCTTCTGTGCCATATAGTAGAGTCACTGCAGACCCTTTTTTTGTCAAAAATGAGTTAATTTCTCTTACCACCTCTTCACTGCTCACCTGCTCACTAACTCATTCTACCTCACATGTTCACATTACCTGTCTTTCACAGAGTCATATTATCAGTATTCATTAACGCACAGAAATTTACAGTATAATGCGAGAAATGAACATTTACTTTCAAGTGTTCCTCCAAATATTTATATACTGTATGTAGAGAATATACCATCTTTATGAAACAAATGGCTTAAAAATCTGTGTACATTTGTCTACTATTATCCCGAGTAATGAGACACTATCACCACAGCCTCTGAGTTCCACATCTTGTTAATATGAAGAACACGGCACCACATGTACAGCACTTACCATCCAAGAGGAACAGAATAGGAGCAGAGGCTGTTTGAATTAGTTCAGGAAAAGTATGGAATATCAATGCATTGCTCTCCTTTATTAAAAATATAAAAAGATGTTAATTATATACTCAGCTGTACTCAGGTAGAGAGTGTGCCATTAAGCTTGTTTTGTGAAAAGAGACAAACTGGCACATTGAGCTTGTTTAGTTGCTGGTATCAAAATGATCCGAGGATTTCTTCCAGTCACTTGTCAGCTTGAAAACCCTCATTGTGTAGCTTGTTCAAGTGCCTCCTGTTCTACTTACACTTCACCATTGGGTTAATTTTGCCAGTGCCTTCAACAATGTAGGATATTTGTATCAGATCCCCTTATATTTGTTTCTGTTCACGACTTAAATTAATTTCTTTTTGGCTTGTTGGTAAGACATCTTTTAAGCCCAGAAATCACTTTTCTTTGTGCTGATTCCAGAGTAGAAACAAAAAGTGTCCACCTTTTGTTATGTACAGACATACTGTATCTTGAGCACTGAATTTTGGCATTAAAATAGCAACAGCAAAACATTGGAACTGGTTACTGGAAAATTTTCATAAAATCAAAATAAATCTATGATGGATCTTAGATACTGATGGTTCTGGTAAATTTGTATATAATTCCATACCTTTGGCAGTACACTAGATTTACATTTTAAAAATGGGACTGTTCCATGAATGTTTTAATCCGAATCTGTTATTGCGACTGGAACTGTTCCTGCGTTTTGAGTATTATTCTTTGAAGTTCACTATTATGTGACATGAAAATGACATTACTTTCTATATATAAACAAAAGTCATGAGAAGCTATAAATGTAAGATGCCATCAAGTGCTAGATATCTTGTTTTTTAATACATCAAACAAGTCTCACATATGCTGAGCAACGTGCTTGAGCAGCATGAATAAAATTAATTTCTCATCATTTTGGATTCATGGGAAGACTGGATATTTGAAGATTAAAATAAACATAAAAGGAAAATTCTGAATACAAGTCATGTTTATTTCATGCCCAATGAAGCGAAGCAGCAAACCTAAACATCTTAACCTTGTAATTATTCTCCATCTCCTTAATTGTTACTACCTTTTCATTGTTCCAGCTTTAATTGGGTTAGCATGGCATCAAAGCACATAACTGAAACAACAATGATATATAATCTTGATTGGAAAGTCCTAATGCAAAACTTAATTCACATTTGAATGAGGCAATCTGAACTAAAACTCAAACCTGTAAATACTTAGTAAAGTATTTAGTAGTGCCTCCTTCATTTAACCATAGTTAAATGCCGGTTACTGCTTCATTTAATATACTGTATTTACTTTCATTTTCTTTCTTCTGGTTTTTATGACCAGGTTTCCAACATCATGTACTCGTTAAGCACAACAATTTATTTTTAATATGAAGGATTTGTTCATGTTGTCTGCTGTGGTATCTGTTTTTAATCCCTGAGGAATACACAGGATTGAATCAGCATGTGTATTTTCCTACTTGCTGATTTTTGTTTAGTAATTTACCGTAAATGCACTGAACATTTTTGACTGTATATACTAATTTACAGTAACAATTGGACAGAACATGAGTTATTTATTTGTTGTATAAAGTAGAGAAAAAACAATATGATGACAGCTGCGTAGCTTCCAAAGTACATAAGAACACATGTACAAGCAAATTCAGACTTGGATCACTTGCTGCACATTGCAGGTAGAAAGTAGTTTGAAATGTGCAGAACTAGGGGACATGGAATTTTTTTTACATGTATACATCATTACGTGACAAAGAAAAACTGGCAGTCTTTTGATTTGAATAAAAAAATGTCATCTGAAGAATAGCAAGGAATAGATTTTTAAAGACACTGCTAAGATTGACCTTGTTATTAATTTGAATCTGCCTACTCCTTCACGGCCCACGCGTGCTTCATCTCTAATGGGAGTGAATGGCAGGATATTGCCCTGGGTTTGCCTCTGTTTGGAAAAGTGAATAACCAGGTCATTTAGAGGGCAAACACACTGCTGACTAACCAGTTACACAAGAAGGCTCTTAAATGCATTTACCGTTACCTGTATAGGTCAATTAAGAACAAATTCTTTATTTGGTGGAGTAATATTAGTGAAGTTCTTTTCACAGGGACATAACAGCACCAACTCAGCTCAGATTTGAGTCCACCATCTTGGGCAGTATCTGAAGTACATTACCCTAACCACTACTCCATACTACTACTCTTCCCCTAACTACTACCGTACTCCACACTACTCCCAAAAAGTCATAAATACCACAGACCTTAATTAAAGAAGATGACCAATGACCAAAGAATCACCAGCTTTTCTAACCACATAAAGGCAATTTTGTACCAATATTCTGCTTTCCTGTCTGAGCAGGAAGGAAAGAATGGCCTCATCATCAGAATGTACAGCATTGATTGCTCTAGAAGGCAATGGATGCATAATCCTGGTGACTCATTAATTGATACTCTTTCTTGTTCTTCTACTCTTGTCCCAGCATTCCTATTTATTTCAATGAACAGGTTTATGTAGAAGCCCTTTATATGGATTATGCGAAATTTTTTGTCAAAAATAAAATACATGCATTCATTAGACAGTACACCCTCAGTATAAGAAACACACTCCTGTATTGTTATGTAGGACATTTCCACTTCTTCATACTTTGAAGGGAAATCTATGTGTAAATGCACTGTGAAGAAAATTGTCACCCATAACCAACATGGAGCAGTTCCCCACTTTCTCTTTTCTATGAATTATCAAATGGGTCATTGGATCATTCATATTTTAAGAGAGTATTTTTCACTGTGAGCCAATAACATCTATACAGACAAATGAAAAGCACTGTATGGAAAAAGTTGTCCGCCCATCCACCTTCTAACCACTTCATCAGTGTCTCGTGCCTGCTGCTTGACGAAAACTCATGCAATCTGTTGTAAATGTTCAGTCAGGCGCTTGACCGTATAGACACTTGCAGCAAATTTCACTCGGAATTCCAATTATAAAAAACAAAGTTTATTATCATCGATATTATTTATAAAATCAACAACAGTACCATGTCAACATATCCTTAAACACATATGTAGGTATTTGATTCAGTATCAAACTAAATTTGTTCTTCTTTAAATGATCAAATCTCTATCACTTTCTTAACAATATTACCCTTAAAATAGAACGATAGTAATTTTCTTATATAATTTATCTTTAGTCCATGCAGACTGGAAATACATCTACGCATGCTGTACAATATTTAGAAAGGTATTTTGAATATTTTCAATGGCTCTATCTCCAGCTAAAAGCTTCAGCTTGTTTTTGCGAATATAAAAATAATAACACGATTTTGTAAGATAAGCTATGTTAAAAAGCAGCATTTCAAGGAAATGTGCTGTGCAAGTTATATTTGATTTATAACTAGTTCTCTAGCATGAAGTAAATACTTCACTTTGAGAGAGGTTTTGGTCTTGGTACAAACAGCTTGCATATTTAAAGTTTTGTTAATTATTTAGTGTTTTAAATAATTATTTATGTAGCTTTTTTTCCTGAAAGTTGAGCAGTAGTATTTTATGACTTCAGAAAAACTCTTAAATATTTTGTTTATTCTTAAACATTTCAGATTTCGCAAATAAACAGCTCATTCCATCTACATTGTGCTTTTTGGTAAGTATTTCTTTTGCATGTGCTGTAATTTATATAATAGTATAATTTCTCTAATAATTTTACATTTATTTCTGTTTTGTAGCATTGGCTGCATGTGTTGTGTCATTATTTTCTTCTAGATGTACATTACATATCCAGACAATATGCTTATGACAATTTCAGAATCTATTCTGCTATTGCCATGTAACTAATGCCATCGTTAATTACGTCTTCAATAAAGATGTGAGCCAGTTGCAGAAATTGCTATGGATGCTCAGGCCTCAACATTCTCAACTTGTTTTAAAACAAAGTTTTATGGAAGGATGAAACTAAGACAACGTTTTACCAAAGTGATGGCAAAAGTAAAGTGTGGAAAAAGAAAATAAGGGTAGAAGCTCCAAAGAACACCCTCCCATTTGTACAGCATGGTGTAAATAACATCATGTCGTTAGTCATATTTCAGTGATCCAGATTAAACCATAATTGACTGCTAATGAAGTAGCTTCTGTTTCTTGTATTTTGTTCTTAATACTCATTTTAATACATTTAAGTATAAGAACATAATTGGTCTTTTGGAGTTTTGTTTTCCCTTGGGGTTAACTTTTTGGCTCTGCCACTTACTGTATATAACTTCCCTTCAGATTTTCTTAGGTTTTCCTCCTGTTCTTTTGCAGTTCAAATGTTTTTAAACATTTGTAAATGTAAATCCATGTAAATCCATGTCCCAGATAAACTGGTGCCCATCTCATTTAGATGTAATCTTTTAAGCCTGTATAGCCTTTGCCATTGAAGAGTTTCATGTGACTGAGAAATCCTTCTTAACATATTAAGTCCTTGGTCATTCATTGTACTGATGGACTAAGATTACTAATTAGCTTTGTGTGGTGTGAGGCAGGATTCCTGAGAAAAAATGCTGTCTCCTCTCTCAGACAAATATGTACTGTAGTTATACATGTATTTAAAGTAAAGATATATTTTATTGTCCACAATGCATTGCTCAAAATACTATTAACCTCTATGGACCTCTGGAGTCCAACAATAGCAACAGGCTCTTTGAGGATAAGAGAGATTGGTGGATGTGCTGGAAACACAAGTACAGGGGTCATTAGTGCAGTCTTGATTTCAGAATTCCAGAACACCAAGCAGTTTTTATTGCAGAAAGAAAGGTCAGAGAAAACTGATGCACTGTCTGCAGACAGTAGTACGCCAAGTGCTGTATGATCCTAAAGAGATCTTGCACTGTAGGTGACTGTGGATTTCTGCAGAAGACACAATGAGCTGCCTCTTAGCTGTAGCTGTGAAGTGTTAACTTCAATCCCAAAATAGGAGACTGTTGAAACATCAGAGACTAGTATCTATTTTCTCTGCTCAGGTTATACTTTGCTGGGATGAAGTTTGTTGTGCAATCTAAGCAAATATACTGTAATTGACAAGCCCATTATCCTGATAGTATTGGTTTAGTCTGTGATATTCTAGCAGCCTCCATGCTCTTTGCTTTTGATGCAGGATTAATAACTATTGATCAGGAAAAAGCTTATAAAAGGGAAAGCCATAAGTACTGTTTGAGTGTTTTTACTGTAGGGCTTTTGGCTTTAGTCCCACTTTTCTAAGACAAATATGGTTACTGTGCTTCAATCAGTTGTTGTAATGCTTTCAATGACTTGGAACTGAAAGATGCACTTACTGTACGGTAGTTCTCTTCTCTCAATTCAGAGGTGAACCTACCAAAGTTGACCACTTAGTGGAATGTCTATCTATTGGGCTCTTGACACATAAACTACAGTATGAATGCATTTGGTGATGGGTCTGTCTATTCGAAATGTCCGGTCAAGGCCAGTCCAAGTGGTGGGTTATGCAGAGAACGGATGAGTGTTTTTAATAAACAAGGGCAACATTAAGGTTTTAACTAAGTGACAGGAGACCTGTGAGAAAGTATTGTCTACCAAAGTAAATTGGACTAAAAGCCATCTGTTTGTAATAGGGGAAAGAAACAAAACTCCTCATTTACCAGGACGACTGCATTGGAGTAGGCAGGTATTCAGGTACTGTACCTGGGAGTACTGTGTATTAAGGAGGGGATTGATGCCAGAAAGGAACTAGGAGGGGTAGCTGGAGAAGAACCAAGGCAGACTGCAGGGCTGGCAGTGGCTGCTGATACATTTTTTAAGGGCCGGTTTATAGTCATTAATAAATGGGTGACCCAGGTTTTGTGGCAATTGTACAAAACATATTAAAGTATTTTTGGGTAGGGAGACACCTTAAGCAGGGAGCATCATATTTACAGTACTTGCAGAAAAGTGAGGACAGGATTTATTCAATTTTTTAGCACTTGAGGTTCAACCTTTAGTCCCTACAGAGACACTTGTGTGCTACTAAGCCCCTCCCCTGCAATAAATAGCCTTTTGTTTTTTTGTAGGGAATTTGAGGGAAGCTAATGGGAATTTACATGTTAGTGTATAAGTAAAGAAAATAGTAATTTGAATGTTTTGCCCAGTCTTTTATCACTGGGTTATAAGGCTCTGAAATATTTTAAAGTCCATTTTTATTGCAAGGGTGAAATGGACACAGACTGAGTAAAACAGACTGCAAGGGAAAATTGTAACATAAAAACACATTTTCTTGTACAGATTTTTATGTTTGCCTAGAACACATGGCCTCTTTAACCCCATATTCAGTATTTACTATTGTATACTATATACAGTACGTCTAGTACAATAAACTGGTAACTGAACAACCATCATAGTTGCCATTCTTTATTTCTATAGTGCATTAATCAAAGTTCATGTCAAAGTGACATCCTAATATGATTAACAAAAGTAAAAAAAGAGAGCAAGAAAGAACAATTAAGGTTGTAAAGCAACAAGTAAAGGTTTATTCCGTGCCGAAAAGAGAAGAAAAGAAACACAATGTTTGACTGTGGAGCCTGCTTCAGGTGTGGTATACCATTCTTAATTATATTCTGTGTTATTAGTGAATAATATGCCATTATCTGTCCTATTGCAAATGTGTAGTATCATTGGGAAATGTTTTAAAATTCATTTGTAAGGACAGAGATGAATGTGGTACATTTTGAAGCGTACTCAGTGTGTTTTTCAATATGAAAGAGAACCATCTGAGAACGTTTCTGCTGGAAAGCACTGAGTACACTTGGCAAGAGTACTGGATATAAAAAGAACTTGAAACACTCAAATGTTTGTTTGCTTTTGTGTATGTGTATACAGTATGCACTGTATGGGTATGTGCCTTTGTCTCTGGGGGGACTCCTTAGTTGTATGGAAAGTAAGAATTCATGTGAGATCAATTCAGTCCTACTTAAAAATTAGATACTTTAGGAGGACAGCCCATCAGAAGTTAAAATGAGAGGGCCAACCTCAAGATGTGCAGATAGAACAAGACCCTAATGCTGGCAGAATAACAGGAGCGAGAGCATTGTTGTTACTGGATAGGCTCCAAGAAAGTGATGCTAACCACAAACTAATCCCAGGTTAATGAAATATCACTGGAAATACAAACTCAATTATTTTGCAGCAGGCGTAGCCATCTGGATATTATTCTGTCATTATGAAGGCTGAATTGCAGAAAACATTCAAAAAGTCTAATTAACATCTAAAAAATATACTGTTTATATCTATAACTGTTTACATCATATTTTCCAATATGTAATTTTATCATGGACAATATAGTGTATGTAGTTTTATATGTTCTGGAAATTATTTCTGAATAATATATAAAAGAGCAAACAGAAAGACATAAAAAATCCTGTAAAATGTTATTTCTAATATGAATTTTATTTTATAGAAGGCAAAATGAATCTCTTTAGTACCCTACTTGAAATGTACTATTTCAGATAGATTCATCTGCATAGCAAAAAACCATCAAACTGCAGAACATAAGAACATTAGTCAACACTTAAAATTTCTTTTTTTATTTTAGTTTTGTGAAGCTGGAAACTTATGTATCAATATTGTTTTAGCCCAACACAACCAGGCAGGTAAGTTAAAACATATTTTAAAATATTAAATGGAATATGTTCTAACCCAATGTAAAATACTGAAACAGTTTTCAAAAATAATTTGAGACAAATCTTTTAAAAATAGTTACGTAATTTCACAATAACTCCTTAGGAATGTTTCTCTTAGTATTTCTAAAAAAACAGTATAGTATTTCTAAAATACTGTATAGAAAAATACATAGATCTGTAATGGGACACTTGTATCTTTTCTCTTTGTGTGAAATGGTCATATCCTTTTTAGAACCATATTGTTATTCAAAGCAATCAAGTGTGAGTGTTTGAGAACTGAAAGCATTGCAATATACTGTATAATGCATCCAACAAGTTGGTTAGGCTGTAAATTCCCTATAGAGCACAGGTGTGTACACCAGTCATAAAATGACTTATCATAATCATAGCAGAATACAACACATTTGATTCTAATTTGTGATAATAAGCAAAGAAATATTTTACTGTTCCGATTCTAGCTTACTTACGATTCTTTTTTCTCATTTTTATTTTTATCTTGTGACAAGGAAACAAATCACATTTTCCAAGATCTACTTCCAATCCCTTCACGTGGCTCTTCAAGTTGGTACACTGTCCACAGTACACTTATGAGGTAATGTTTATGTGAATGTTTAAATCTTTTGGAGAGCAGAAGTATGAAGAATAATTTTATGTACCATCTGCTGTTTGTTATGAATTCAAAGAGGGGAAACTCAGTTCCTACCTCAGAACATCACCCAGAAACAAAAAGCTAAATCTTTTGTTCAGCTTTTTGATTTTGCTCAATAGGCTTTTTCATTTTCACTTCAGTTTCTCATTTGGAACTCTTGTTTCCTCACTGTTGAAAAGTAAACAAAGAAGGTCTGAGGTCTTCTACTGTCTGCCATTCACCACAGTATGTCACTGTTCTGACATCATTGAGCCCTGGTGAATTGACCCCAGTCTCTCTCAGTTATTCGTGTGACAAAGACTAATCATCCAAGAGCAGTTTTACTTTCCTAACCCCATGGAGTATAGAAATGAATTTTTGTTGTTCACCAGACTGCAGCAAAGACTGTCACCTCAGCTCAGCAGATAATCATTATGGTTTTGACCCATTTAGATGATACCCCAGGCTCACCAGACATTATCATAAACTGCAGATATTTAGTGTTACTCATCAACGGGGATGCAATTCCATAAAGAATTACAACAGCAAAAAGGAAAAGGAAGAGGTTCTATATTAACTGTACAAACATTTAGTGTGTATTTAATGAAAGAGTGCTGTCACAGACTTGTGTTAGCCCTTTGAGAACAATGAAAAAAATGACATTGAAATACAGATTTGCTCCACTTATTAATGTAGCCGTCTAAAATAAAAATGATCAAAATTAATGTAAGGGAACAGAGTCACATCCTAGAATGAAAAGTGTATTTGCCCAGCTACTTTTGAGATTCCAATTCTATCTAATCAGGCAAGGACAATGACAGGGATATGTGAATTATGATGTCATTAATTCACTCTGTTTTATCTTCAGATTGGAGCTTGGCTAAGTTTAACTGTTATGACTCAAACAGTTCCAGGTGAGACAATTTTCTTGGACACATAAGAGAAAAGCCATTACTGTACTGATAATAACGGTGTAAATATCCACACATTTTATTTTTCAGTCGCAGTTTTTGCTATAATGGTATCTATTCAAATGATGCTGTGGGCAAAGAAGACGCATAACAAGTACCTGAAGCAGATGAAGAACAGCTCATGCCAGAGGATGGCAGTGATTCCGTTCATACTGTAGAATTCTAAACAGGAAATAAATCATCACCATAATGAAAGCAGAACACAGATGGACTGTAATTTGCAATTTCCTGACTTTAATATAGAGAACACACAATGTGAGTTAAATTGGTGAAGGTTTTGAGCTGGAGAAATTCTGCTGACAGCCGTTGATAAGGAACAAGGTACAGTAAATACGGCAGAAATAGCAATGACGTAGTAAGCTGGGGCGACCGGTTGAGTAAGAGAGATGGATGATGAATGACCCAACAGGACCACTCCAAAGCAAACACCAGGCATACAGTATAGTGCTCTGTTGCTGTCATTTGAATACATGACCTATTTAAAAAAAAAAACTCAGAATGCTGAATGATTTCAATCACACAAGTTTAACAAATTGATATATTCATTCTGTTGAATATTTGTGTATCTAGTTATACAGTATGCCTTGTCTTTAAATTTTACTTTGTATCAGAAGCATGGCAATTTAAAGATAATCAACCAAAAGTAGAGTTTGGTTTGTTGAATAAACATATTTCTTATGCTTCTCTATCATTTTCAAGACCCAAAGGGTCTGTTATTTTTGTGGTGCCATTATCTGACAGATAAAAGTACATTTCTTGGTTGTGTCCAAACCTCTGTACTGTATATTCTGCACTAGTAATTTCAAGAATCATTTACAATCTGTACTTTTTCTAAGGTAATTTTCCATTTTCACTGTCTTCAGTGAAACAGATACAAAAAAGAGGTGCAAGACCAGTGTAAATGTGTTTCAATTTTTCATTATCTTTAAAAAAGCACCAAGTTAGTTAAAAATGTAGCATTTACAACTTATTTGACTTCATCAGCTTTGAATACAGATTTCATTTAACAGATGTGTAGGATTTCCTTGGTCTAATTTTCTCTGAATTAAAACATTAGAACCACTGAAATGTGCAAAGAAAAATAATAGCTGAAAGTTTTTTTTAATCTAAAAATGATAACAGCTATGAGCTACTACTGTAGGTATGCAAAAAACACCCTTTGAATAGAAAATACTGTTTTTAATTAAAATAATTCTAGTAGAATGGAATACATTCCCATCAACAGGCCTAATACTATTTATAGAATTAGTAGACGGAACTGCATCTTGATTAATGAACATGAAAAAAGTCCTTTCTCTTCTTTCAAAGGCACTTTTTATGTTATTAAGAATTAAATAACTTTGGAGGCTTACTCTCATGAATAGACATTTACAGTATGTAAATCTGTAAATGCTGTATCAGAGTTCAAAGTTTTTTTTTATTAATAAACTTGTGGACACCATGGGCAGTACTATAAGTACTATAAGGGAGGCTTTGAAAAGAACTAATGGGTGAGTAAAGAAGCAGTAGGAGTAAATGCCATTTTCACAAAAATTATTAAATTTCTTTAAAGAATAAATAAAGACAGGGACATTATTCCAAAATAATGAATAAAGTAAGTGTTCAATAGTGCGCTTCGGGATCTGTTGTGTGGCTGCATCTATTCAAATTAATAGTTCTACTTTGAAAGAACTTTGATTCAAATGAAAAGTTCTTCTTTTTAATCACCCTGAGGCATTGGAATCTGGTCTTCATGTGAATCCAGCCCGTCGCTACTGCTTATTAAACAACGGAACATATTATTGCACTAAAGTCCTGCAAAATGTAGATCTATAAACAGAAGACCTTAGATGTTTTAAATCATTCTTATTCTGTATTCAAATATTTTGATTAAAAGCTTTTGAATGTAGTTTCGATACATTTGTGTAAATGTCCATGTGGAGTGATTTATACTAGTGAAACTAGAAAGCCCAGGAAGGCTCAGTGTCTGAATATGGGGATAATATGACAGGAGGCAGTAAATTTACTTGTTGGGAGACGCTCTAAGGAAACAAATATTATCACTTCTGCTCTAGGATTTATGGTTATGGACAGAATTATGATGAGGGTTAGAGGTGCAAAAAAGAAAAAGAAAATAGTGCTTTTGCACCATGTAAGATTTAGGATTTATATTCTGGAAGGTTTAAATCTGAAGGGACTAGATAGAGATTTTGGATTAAACTATTTTCAGATTAAGTAGTTTAAACCAGTTGAATAACTTACTGTACATCTGTATTTGTCCCCAAATTATCTGGTTATTATGGTCTGACAATCATAACCCAAGGTACCTGTAACTGTTTTTCAGAAAATATGGCAATTGAAAACACGTAAAAAAATGGTAATAAAGGCCCATGATTAATAGAAAATGTATAATGAATGGAAATTATTATTTCAATTGTAGGTTGCACCAATTAAATGCACTAAGCTGTTAAATGGACTATTCAATGATGTACATACTGTACAGATATACTGTAATAATGCAGCCTGACGAAGGCCGTTGTGGCCTGAATGCCATTTTGTTTTTAACCTTGCTTCTTGTTATGCACCAAAGAATGAAGGAATCAATGGTGTTGCATCTGCTTTTGTATCTTTCCAAATCCACTGTACTTTCATTAGACAGAGGAGGACACCACATTATTTGGTCAAATACACAGTTTTCTTTTCACTGAATAAGTTCATGGTTCGTGTGATGTGCACAAGGCTTTAGCTCTAAGGCTTGTTTTAGAAGCCAGTTAATTACAAAATGCTTTTTTCATTAAATATTGATATAGGTGGTACTGCACCTGTGAAGAAGACAACAAATATTTGAAATTTTAGAGCTGAAAAAGAAAAGTGAATTGTCTTTATGCTGTGATGAAAGCAGGGGTCCTACATTTCTCAGTGAAGCCAAGCTACTGTATTATTGAACAAGCCAAATAAACTCCTACAGACATAAATTCAAACTTAAAAAAAAAAACTTCTTACATAAAGTGTTGTTAGAATGTTTAATCATTTGTCATCATTGCATGACGTTATGTGCAAAACAAATGCAATTTATTTTTTGCCACAAAAAGGCTGATGAAGAATAATAGTCACCAACAGCTTTGCTAAAATGGGCTTTGCTACATTGTTCTGAATCCTTCTAGTGTAGTATTTTACACTGGACACGGTGTGACCTTATAAACATCTAATTTCTTCACATTTAGCCTTAAGGGATCATTTTAGAAGTAAATAATCGCAGAAGACAGTTGGTAAATAATGTAAAAGTACAACGAAATATTAAATGGGTAATAACCCTACGTAAAAGGAAACTGCAGCACAAACAAACTACTCTTTAAGGTTTGTTGTGTGTTTAAAAATTAATAATTAATTTCTAATTATTTTATTTTGGTATGTTTTTCATGGCATTTTGGAATACCTGTCGATATACAGTAGTTTTATTTGTAAAAAAGACCGATGATTAAGTGAATATTAATCAAACTCAGAAATAATTTGGATCTGTTCATGCTTTTGGTGAATCATGTTTTATTGCACCATTGTAAAACCCCTTCAATGAGATTTCAAAAGAAAGGGCAACTGAATGACACTGCAGTTCTATCCATCCATTTATCCACTACAAGGTCAAGGGAAGTCTGAGCCTATCCTGTCAAGTTATCAGCAGAAGCCAGAATGCCCTGTCCATCACAGGTAATACACAGACACAAACATGCACACAGTCACCTCAGGGCCCATTTTCCTAGAAGCTAATTTATCTACGCTTATGTCTTTGGCCTGTGGGAGGAAACCGGAGCACCAGGGAAAACATACAAACCTCATGCAGTTGACACCTGAGGGATTGAACCCAGGGCCCCAGTGCTGCTAGGCAACAATGCTAACCACTGCATCACCATGGTGCCATATTACTATCCATGCTATTAAAATACAGCCGTTAATGAACAAGAAATAAAGTGCGATACACAACATTCTCAGCTAATATATTTGCTAATTTGTTCTTATAAAGTGAAGTAAAATGCATTTAGGAAAAAATCATATTTATCAGTGCAGAGTTCCGTGAGCAATTCTTCAGAATTCTGAAGGCACGGAAACCTCAAAATAAACAGCTGAACTGTTAAAAAAAAACTTTATGATAATGTTGTTTAATTATATATATTTTAATATAAATATAAACTATTTTTCTCTGGGCCCATACATTTTTTTATCATCTTTAATCAGTAGATACTTTATAAGAAATATTATACTATGGCTTTGTTGGGTGTCTCCACTGAAACTCTCTTAGGACCGTCTCAATGTTGAATGCTCAGTCTTTGTGTCTTTACTGTTTGTAGCTCTTCTAGATTGGCTTTCCATTTGATGATAAAAAAACTTATAATAGACATATCATTACAATCAGGGTGTTATTTCAGTGGTGATAGTAAAGCAAAACGAGATGTAACAAAATAAACAATATCTGAAATATCTAAATAATGTTAGACATCATATTTTAAAGTCTGAGGTCTTATTGTATATCCGTTCACTTTCCAAGCTGCTGACAGAAGAAATAAAAACACAAAAAAACCTACAAAATGTGTTTGCACATTTTTTTGTTTGAAAAATCCTTCCCTGAGTTAAATCTGTTGCATATTCACAATCATCTAATTAAGCTGCATTAATCAAAATTAATCATAGCATATTCTGTGCTGAGGAATGTGTACAGTACTATATGTACTGTATAAGTATTCTGAGAAGCAGAAGCAGTTACCAAAACATCATGAAATGAGAATTAAAAAGTTGTTTTTTGTACTGTTATTAGTATGCAAATAGAATTTAATTTATGATTTTGAAAAATAAAGAAGACATAAAGCTATGTTTTTCATATCTGAAATCTTTACATTATCAGTTTACAGAAGTGCCATTAAAGTTCACAGCTATAGTAGTATTAATTAAAATGGAAGGGTTCTTTCTTGAAGGGAACACCACCGCATCCTGTGAATCAAACATTCACAGATGAAAGGAGGTTTTTCAGAGGCTGCATGGGCATCTCATCTGATGTCACATCCACAGGGTTGGTGTACACTTGGGGGTCTTCTTCCTCATGCTGGTGTTTAGCAAAGTTGACAAACACCTGCAAAAACACAAGTGAGCCCCGGTTAAACATGCATTCTTCAAATTTGTAAGGGGAGCTGCAGAGCAGATTCAGGTACAGCAGCTGTTGATGCAAAGAAGTGGAGACAAAGGTAATAAAGGCAACCCAGCAGCCATTTTTCTGTGCCCAAGGTTAAAAAGGGTGTATACACACATTGGCGTGAAAGAGTGGAAAATAACCCCAGATATGAAGGTGAATATTTTCAGTATTTGCAGGTTTAAAGTTGTTGAAATACAGATGAGATGGCTTTTGTGACATTACTGAACTGGCCTAAACTCAGGCATCAGAACACTGTTGAAGATACTGACCAAAAAACTGCCAAAAAAAAGATGTTCAAAACCTGCAGTATGTGTCAATGTCTCTCTTTCTTTATATTGGATGTTTTGTGCATCCTTACTTCAGCTGTTTGTGGAGCTTTTACACTTAACCAATGACTTCTTGTCACCTGTTGCTGCAGATCATACCTTAGTTCTTCCAAAATTAAGACTGACTAGTACAGTTAAGAAAAAAAGATTTACTTTCAAAATCCCTTTGTTTAATTACATTTAATAAACTACGCATGCCTGTTTACATGTGTTGTAAACAGATAGGTAGATAGTGATCCTCCTGACCATTTTGAATATGTAAATGTATGTCAATATGTACAATTACCAACCAAAAAAAATATTTTTAAGCTGGGTAGCTGTTAGTGTGGGACAGTAAGGATCCTGATTATAAGTAAGGGGAAGCATACAGTAGTACAGTACTGTAAGTATGAGTAAAGTTCAGCTATATGAGAAAGGCCGCACCTGGTCAAGAGTGGTCTGAGACACAGAGTAATCCTCGATGGCCAGACTCTCCCTGTGTCTAGTGAGTTCACTGAAGATCTTGGAAAGGGCATTCTGAACACAGGGAAGCTGGTACTGCAGGTTGTTGTGGTGCTTTTCTTTCAGCGTGCTGCCTGGGAAAGTGTCTCGCATGAAGTCTTCCACTGGCTTCAGTACTGGGGAAGATCCACCCACTCTGACAGTCACAGTGTATCCATCTCCAAATCTAGAACAGATAGAGCAGATGAAACATGCATCTCAACGCCATCAATCAATGACGCTCTTAACTGGAGCACAGTTTCTGAATTACTGTCATATTACCCACCGATTTCCATTTTTAAGAAAACAATAATGTACATGCATGATATATTTTTTAATTACTTTGTGAGGAGATACTCTCTTGTTATTTGGTTTTGTGACATTAAATGCTGCTTCTGAAAATAATCAAGACAAATATTTGAACTAAATATTTCTAAATGTACTAATGCTGCTATTTGCAAGTGAATGGAGATGCTTCAACATTACAGTTGTATGTATTTTCTAGTCATTTTATCCAATACAGGATTGGAGAGTAGCTGGAGCCTATCCCAGCAAACAATGGGTACAGAATACACCCAGATAGGGCACAGGTGGGGCATACACAGACAAACACATACAGTACAGTACATTCACACCAGGGACAGTATTTCCAAAGTTTTCCCCGTGTGTCATTGAACTGTGGGAGGAAACTAGAACACCCAGAGATAACCTTGCCTAGTAGCAAAGAACAGCTTGTAGATCAGGAATAATTAATTACAGAAGTGCATTGTTGCTTAATGGTAAAAGTTCATGACAGTGCGAGAGAGATCGCAGGTGCCGTTTAAGTGAATGTTGTTTGCGGAAACTCTACCAGGTGCTCAGCGACTGACTGGTTCTGATTCAATGTGTAGTTTATTCCACCACTCTGGTGCCAGGGACAAGAATGAACAGGCCCTGGAGATGGAGAAACAGAGCGGAGGGACAAACAAAGTGGAAGAACAGGAGCAGACAGGCTGCAGTGGGTAGAGGGAGAGAGGAAGGACTTGAGGTAAACTGGGATCTACAGTAGTGGTTGTAGTGCGGTAAGCAAGAACATACTACATGCAGTGGATGCATGCAGCTACCAGGGAGCCAATTGAGAAACCGGACTTACAGCTTGGCATGATTAAAAGGAGGAGGCAATAAGCAATAATCTTCTGAAATAATAATTCAGAGATCTAGACTGAAACTTCCCTATTGCTTTAAGATCCAATTGACGTCTGATTTTCTTTTCACCTACTACATATAGAGTATTAAGTTCAGACTATTAATTACTACTATGTTTGAAAGAACCGTCTGACTAAAACCTGTCTCATAAAACACAGACTTCATGCCTTTGCACTTCAGGCAAGCCCTCCACATTTTCTGAAGTTTTTTTTCTGAAGTGTTTTCCGAAGTTACGTTAGTCTAGTGTGCCTAGCCTAGTAGAGAAATAAGCTACTGTACTTTGCCTTGTTATTTTGTCATTAGCAGTCTGACGACCTTTTGGTTTATGCTAAATTAGTTATTTAATGTAATATTTCCTCAAGAAAAAGTCCAATGTGGGAAGTAAGAACTAAATGCACATAAACCCTAAAGTATAATAGTAATTCTGTTTTTTCTTAGCACAGTTCAGAAGCCACATACAGTATGTAAGTGAAGCACACTCCTCCAAAAAAAAAAGACATACAGTATCTCTTAGATTAGTAATGCTTCAAAGCTTTGGCCTGAACAGTTATTGGTCTCTGTGATGTTAGACTAACCAGTTATTTTCAGATTTCTTTATTTTAACCATCATTTAACTTATAATTATTTTTAAAACCGGTTAAGGCAAACAAGTGACAACCTTGGAAATCACACTCATCAATCTTCACGAGCACATTTTTTTTTTTAACATTTTGCAGAATCCTCTTTAACCTAGAAGTACGTTTGTGTACTTTGACAGTCGTTCCAATACAAAGAAAAGACATTACAGCTTTTTAAAAATATAATAGTGCATCATTTGGAATATTTTCTGTCTTTGCATTGGACTAAGCAGTGAAAACTGTAGTGCTTTGGGTTCCATTGAAAGTCTTCTTTTAAATGCTTCAATGACAAGGCCTTTGAGCTGCATTTTCCCTATTACAGTTTTTGTGTTGTATGTTTTTATCCTTGAAAAGTTTTTAATATAAAGACCCATCTCTTCTCTCTTTCCTGTCATTCTGCTTCAATATGTATGGAAGTATGGAAAAAGTTCTTATAAACTTTTAAACTTTTACAAAAAACAATGTTTTAGTACTGCAGTTTACTAAATGCAGTTTTAAGTCCATTTTACAAGGGAATAAGGGCTTTTCAATAATTAATTTGAAACCTATTCATCTACAAGTATGCTTTTTTCTTTCTATCTTTTTAATAAAAATCTACATTGTTAAATTAATATCTTGATAAAAGGTTTCTGGTGTTTGTAAAGGGTGTATTTCTGCCTCTAAACATGACTTGGATCCTGCAGCTGTTGTACAATATTTTTGCTCATTTAATCAAAATCTTTACTCACTGTGAAAATCAGTAACAGCAAGCATGCAACAGAAGGGTATTAAAGTTTGCTTTGTGTGAAATTCACTGAACCACACATTTAAACTAAGTTGCTAGGCAATGTGGATAATCAATCAGAGTTAAAAGAATGTACCATTATCTGGAAAATGTGTTAAGTGATTTCTGCAAAATACAGCTTTACAAAATAATAAAATCAGATGATCTCTGAGCTGACTTCAACAGGTTTTGGTTTGAAATATCTAGAACATTTCAACTGAGAATTTAAATATTCAAAAAGAAAACAGCAAAAAAAAAGATAATACAGTGACAAAAAAAACATTATGTCATTTTGCTCTGCAGTAATTTTTGAGATCCCATCTGATAGTGTGTTGCACAGGAAAAATACAGTTTGGATTTCTTGAACTAGAAATTCAAAGGTCAAACAAAATCACCTATTTACCCCAGGGGAGTGGGGGAAAAGGATCTGAGGTGAAATTTCCACCAGCTAACCCATAGTCAGACCTGCTCATATTTGATAACACCGGAAGACTAACAGATCAAAAACTTGACTCCCTGATGCCTGCTGTTATTGAAACCCTCCATGGAGTCAAAGACAATGGAATATTGAGCAGCCAGATCCACATTCAATATTTAACCTACAATGTTGTGCTCTTCTACAAGCATTTATTTCCAGTCCAAAGTTTTGATTCAAATCTTTTATTATTTAGTTCAGAAAATACAATTTCATTTTCTGTGAACTTCAGGATTTATATCCCTGTTGAGATACAGTGCAAAACAGGTTAGTATATCTTTGACACAAACCCATACTCTTGTTATTGAATAATTATTTTTTATTAATAACACCTAATCATATACTAAAGTTACCTTTTGGCATGGATTTAGATTTAAGTGGATAATCAATTTATTTTTTAAAGAACAGTATAACAGTTTGAAGTAAAATGTCGTTTCATTAATAAACAGAATTGAGGTGCTTACAGTTTTTGTTTTATACCCCCAAATAATCAAAAACCTATGCCTGCATAAGCTTTAGTCTGCACTATCTCCAAATATGTGGATATGATACAGTATACACAAAATATTTGTATATTTTGAGAACAAAATACATTACTTATAGTGATAGATTATTTTCAGCTACAGGCCTTACAGTCCTTAACATTCCTTTTCATCTCAAAGCATTCCAATTCACATCAATTGATTCCAGTTTCGTATGGTATTAATTAAGGAACTGAATGATGGATGCTATGTGGACAAATGTGCCCTTAAAATAATCCAGTCATGAACTTAATGATCAAACATCCCTTAAATGCTGCCCCATTAAACAGCATGCTGTTATGCCCCATTAAAAAGACTTTCTTAGATAAATTACAAGTATATACGGTTTAACTTGTCTTGTTACACAATGGGATTTGTGAAGCTCAAATACTGTATATACAATAGCCCTTCAAAAAAATACATACTGAAAATCCTAGAGATGGCAGTATAAACAAGCAAATGAAATATTATAATTATAAAGGAAATAAATAAACAATATGGGTGGATGAATGAACAAAAAAGGGGTATGAAAGCTGTCTCTTGCAGTTAAAACACTGCGAGGCAAATGTGAAATATATTCTTGGGAATTATTTACTTAAAATGTATAAACTCTATAGGAAAATAAAGTGTTAGAATCAACCAGGGGTGAACCTATCCTCTGCAAGCCATTCTCTTTAAGTTGATGGAACCAAAAGTCAGTCGTTGTAATAATTTGGTTAGCATTGAAGAGCAATTTCAGGCATCATGATAAGATGACTGTTATATTTCAGAATGATACTGACCCAATCTGCATTACTAAAACCTTGTTTTTTGTAAATATAGAAATATTTGTTTAAAAAGTTTAATAATTCAGTCACAGGAATGCACAATGCTTTGTAAACAGCATATCATATTCCTCCCAACATCGTGCAGATTATACTTTAATTTAGTAGCAAAAAAGAAGACAGCTTTAATTAAATTAAATTTAATTAACAGACATATAACTCATGAAACATTAATTCTGGAAACTGAAAGGAAATACTAATGCTAACTTAGAAAGCATTCTCAGTGTCAGCAAAATTAAAGATAATTTGGCGACTGAATAATGCATTTATCCAATGAATAAAATTATAGTACAATAATCATTTAGTATTATTGTTTACATTTTTTAAAGAAATCAGAGATCTATATACAGTATATATGCAAAATGGACTTTGGAGGAAACATCTAGGCATTAGTAGAGACTGGGATTCCATGATGGGCTGTGAAAGATACTCCACTGACCTGGAAGAAGTATCCTTTTCCTACTGGTGCTGTTTACCTGCGGCTTTGGTTAGACTGACGTCGATGTGGTGCAGGATATGGAATTGTAGCCACTCTGGGTAACAAATTTGCATATACTGTAGTTGTAGGTGAATGGATGGAATTACAGAGTGAGAAAAATGAAGAGAGTAATAAGAATAAAGAGACCCATGGGGATAATGGTGGAATCAGCCTTGATGTATTGAAAGTAAAACGCCAGCCTGTCTGGTATGATTTCAATGACTAAATGGAGACGGACAAATTCTGGGTCATATCCGCAGAACAACAGCTAGAGTGATGGTCCTTGGGGACAAGAAGAAATCAAGAACACCTCAGAGAGTCTCT